CTTACTGGCTGGTTGTGGGTGTCATGATGTCACAGCACCTGGAGAAGAACCTCCCACCCCCAGCAAATTTTGTCCCCTCCGGAGAGCACAAGCACCTTATTTACAGCCCAGGGGGTTCCCAATCTTCTTAGACTCCAAGGTGCTGGGTCTGACAGGGGCCAGAGATGGAGCCCAAGCCCGCCCTGTTTTACAAATGAGGGAACTGAGACACAGAGAGGGTGAGTACCTAGACTCACACAGCAGGTCAGTCTGGGCACTGTTATGGGTGATTCCTGCCAGGGAGAGGGGTGCTGGGGGCATGTTTAAAAATCAGGGACTAGAAGAGCCTCTCAGCCTCAGAGAAGACATCTGGAGCAGCCTCCCAGCCACAGGGAGCTCCCCCGAGTCCCCACCCCAACGAAGTGGGAGAGGTTCCCAGGCACAGCGGGAGGAAGGGGGTCATGCAATCCACCCTTGCCTACCGCCTCGAGTGTATCCCGGGACTTCAGGTTTGCTCAGCGGCAGCGGGGCCAGACCCTGAGGCTGGAAGGCGGCCGGCTGGGCTTGGACGTGAGTGTGGGCGCCCCGGCCTCCCCCCGCCCCCGCAGGCGCCCCCCGCACCCCCAGAGCAGGCGCCCCCCGCTTCCCCCCACCAGCAGGCGCCCTGGTCCCTGTGTGGGCTGCTTTGACTCAGCGCCGGGAGCCAAGCTTAGGCAAACCACGCCGCACTGGACGCCATTCAAGCTTTTACAGGCCCTCAAATTGGGGCTGGAGCCGGAGAGGAAATACTAAAATCCTGTGTACACAACTTCTGTCTGGGCGCGCCGGGGCTCCGGGAGAATCAGGCGCGGCAAGGGACACATTTGGACGGTTTAAGGGCTCCTTTCCCCTGCTGTGCTTTTAACAGGCATCACGATGTGTCGCCTAAAACCAAGACTCCTGGGTGTGGGCGCCAGGAGGGTCTGTGGAGTGGGTGAGCTGGGGCGCGGCGTGAAGAACAGAGCTTTTCTCCTGCCCCCACGTGCCAGGCACACATGCACCCAAAGCTGGGTTCAGAAATCCAGTGGTCCATAAACCACACAGTCTGCATGGCCCAGACCCCTTCCCCTTCAGAAAGACGCAGCTGTCGGATGCTGGCTCCTCATAGCCTGGGCTTGGGAGTTAGGCAGGCCTGGGTGGGAACCCGGCTCTCCACTTGGGAACGCTGTGACTGTGGGCAAGGGCCTCTATTCCCTCATCTGTAAAATGGGCATGATTGTGGTAAGTTACCTCGGAGGTTAAAGACATGATATAGATGGGGAGCTAGCTCAAAGCCTGGCACATTGTAGGTGCTTCTTAAATGGTAGCTGTTAGTACTTACATATATTAATAGTGATAGCACCATGTTGAGCCTGGCACATGCTAAGTGCTGCCTAAAATCAATTCATTTAATCCCCACAGCAGCCCCATGGGGTAATGCTTTAACCCCGTTTTAACGGCAGAAATTAGGTCAGTTAATTACCTACCCAAGGTCACAGAGCTGTCGACTGGCTGGCCAGTCAACTGAACAAATGAGCAGTTGAACCCAGGTCATTTCACAGTGCAGGTGCTTTGCCACACTCTGAACTGTAACAGAGGAGGAGCTGGTGGCCAGAGCTGCTGGTGAGCTATGTGTCCATGGTATCCTCAGCCTGGCACCGAGTCCCCACACCTGGGCCTCATCCCATTGTCCAAGTTCCAGCCTTGCCAAGTGCCCTCAAGCACTTCCCACTCTGGCCCACCAAGAGCCCAAGCAGCCCCCTCCTACCTTCAGCCTTGGCTCAGCCCTTCCCCCACCCCAAGCTCGTTGAGGGCCTGCCTGTGCATCAGGCCACTCCCAGGCCACCCCTCCAGTGAGGCTGGCTCCTCTGAGCTGCAACACTTCCACCCCCAACCAGTGCCTTTAGCCTCCCTTCTCTTTGACTGGAGCCATGCTGGTCTGGGATGTGTTTCTCTCTCTCAGTCTTGTCCCTCATCAAAACCCTACAGATCTGAGGCCAGGCTCGGTGGCTCATGCCTATAATCCCAGCACTCTGGGAGGCCGAGGTGGGTGGATCACCTGAGGTCAGGAGTTTGAGACCAGTGTGGCCAACAGGGTGAAACCCTGTCTCTACTAAAAATACAAATTATCCAGGCATGGTGGCACGCACCTGTAGTCCCAGCTATTCAGGAGGCTGAGGCATAAGAATTGCTTCCCAGGAGGCAGAGGTTGCAGTGAGCTGAGATCGTGCCACTGCACTCCAGCCTGGGCAACAGAGCAAGACTCCATCTTAAAAAACAAAACCAAAAAACCCCAAAACCCTACAGGCCTGGTCCAGTCTCTTGTGCAGAGCAGGGTCTCCCATGTGTGGAAATGAATTTTCACTGGTGGTAAATGTTGGGTGATTGGTGACATTGTCCTCACTGGTGACTTGTATGTAGGAAAAAGAGAAGCCCCAGAAAATTTGTATAAGGAGGCAGGAGACGATGTGGGCGTCCCCCTGTGTTCCTGGCGTCTGCTGCCAAGCACACGGGGGTGTGGCTCCTCTGTCCACCCCTCCCCCTGCAGCCCTCTTAATTGTTTTGTCATCAGGGCCTGCCAGAAGCCCATGCTGTCTCAGGTAACGGCAGAGACCTCTCAGGTGTGTGAGCCTCTGGCTGGGCTGCCCTATAACAGCAGCCTGCAAACGGTTTCCATTCTGGGATCAGAGGGGCTGCAGGCCTGCCCATGAACTACATGACTCTAACCGCAGCATGGGCCATGCCAGGCCTGAGATCACATAGCAGATCTCCCACACCTCCGCTGGGCGGCAAGAGCTGCCATCCTGATTCCCGCAAACAGCCCAAACCCCCAATGCCCACACCCAAGAGGCACGACAGTGTCGTGAAAATAACATGGCCCTTGGAATCCAGAGATCTGGGTGTGGGTCCTGACACTGCAGTTCCCCGAGGTCTTGGGCAAGTCGCTTAACCTTCCTTCGAGCCTCAGTTTCCCCATGGAGGTGATTGCTTATATTTTACTTTGGGATTGAGAGACAAGAGAGGTATGAGAATGCCTGGCACTCTGTGGGAGCTGAAGCATTGGTTTAAGTGGGAGTCATAGTTGTGGGGAGCTAGGCTTGAGGGCTGACAGGATGACCCAGTGATCTGGTGCAGCAGTAAGAAGGGAGGAATTGATCATGGATAGGCTGGCTTCCCTGGGTCTGGCCTCTGCAGAACTTGTAGCTGAGTCTCCCCACCCCTTAGAATGGGGGTATTCCTGGCCCCAACCACTTCACACCTTTAATACTTGGAGGAGGGATGCATGTACAGGCAGAGGCTGCTGGGAGTCTGGGGTGCCATGTGGGATAACCCAGATATCTGGCAGAGCTACAGTGGTGCCATATGGGTGCAGACTGGTTTGGGGTCACGTGCGAGCCACTCAGGGGCTTCCAGAAGGGCACAGTGCCAACACAGCTGAGGATCTATGAGTAAAGAGCCCAAGGGAGCCAGAGGACCTGGGGGCATGTTATTTGTGCCTAAAAATTGGCAGACCGAGAGTCAGGGCATCTGGACTGCTCCAGTGAATAGGGGAGAATGCACACTGGCCACCACATGCTTGTGCTGCTGGGTACATCCCAGAAAGCTAGTGGACTTCGAGCAGGAACAGTCTGCATGGTGTGGCAGTGCCCTCTGCTGGCCAGGCTGGGCTAGCTTCGGCTGCTGCTTGGCACAGGAGGGTGATCCTCACACCCCGGCATGGGCAGCACCTCCACAGCCTCCATTCGCGGGGACCCTCAAAGCAGCCAGGACTCGGGAGCAGGAAGGATCCTGGCAGATGGGAAACTCATTCCCATTTTACAAATAAGAAAACAGGCTAGGAGGAGTGCCGAAAGTTGCTCAGGGTCCCGTAGCTATTGAATGATGGAGCCAGATCCATCCTGAAATGCTCTTTCTTCTAGCCCAGACCGAATCATTTTATGCAAAATATAACAGGATTCAGGGATGTTGGAAACAGTATCCTTCTTTATTTTATTAAAATCAAATTAGATCTGACTCCGCCTCTGCCTGGGCTGCAGAAAACTTCATTCTGACTTGCTTTTGGAGGTTGGAGTGGGTGCTCCTCCTCCCTAGGTCTGTGCAGGAGCCAGGGAGTCTAAGATGATGCCAGAAAATGGGTGTGAGGGAGGAGTGTTTAAATCTTCAGTGGGTCGGGGCCACTGTGAGAGCATCATGTCCAAGTCTCAGGGGGGCTGTGCTGCCTCCTTGCCCGATTGGCAGCCTGGGAACTGAGGCCTCCCACAGCTCGGCCATGCCACCTGAGGTCTTGCCGCCACCCCGCCACCGCCCCCACCCCCACATCTCAGTAGGCACTGCTGCTCACAGCCATGGAGCTCTCTCAAATCCCAAAACCTTCCTCAAACCTCTTCCTCCCCTCCCCAACCCCCAGCCTAATCCCCTTAAATTGCTCCAGATCCTGGAAAATAAAAGCAGGAAAGGTAGGCTGAACAGGGAAGGAAACTATGTCAAGAACAAAAAGCATCTGATTATCTCAGGAAAAGCTCCTGCCCCTCTAAACTCTGTGTTGGGCAGCCACAAGTACCTATGGGAAAGTGCTTTGTCCTTGGAGTGCCCTTCATGCTACAACGGAAAGCAACAGGACATGGTTCAGACAGGGAGTAGTTTGGTTGAATCCATTTGCAGAAACCTGGGGCAAGGGGTTGGCAATGAGGAATGTCACATGGCACTCCCCACCTAAAACAGTGAAAGTTAAAAGGAGGTTATGGAAAATTGAGGAAGGAGCTCAATGCCCAGGAGCCTGGGTTGCAAAGCCAATCCTATCTGAGAAGAATAAAAACTTGGGGATCCCTGTTGTCATCACAAATATAAAAAGAGTGGCCCTTTGGATTCTGCAGCAACCAGATCTCCAGTTGTCAATTTTGAATCTCTAAACAAGAAATTTGGTTAGAGATCTGCATTAGAGACCTAGTTGTCCTTAGCGTTTATGTTCAGTCTGTAAATCTTTTTACTCTGTTTATAAATAGGGCAAAATAAAAACAGCGACCTTCAATTTTCTCTGATTCATGAGCTATTAACTCAACTTGAAGACACTAAGCTTCAAAAAAAAAAAAGCACTTGTGGCTACAAAAATGCCAGTCCAGTGTCACCAATTACCCAAGGGTGGCACCCTCATCCTGCTGGAGATGGTGCATTGATTGGCTGCTTCGAGAGCCCTTTTCCAACCTGGGAAACCTTCAGTTTAAGTTTAAACATGAAGATAGTGAAATAAGGTAAGCCTTTAGAAGCAAAGCTTTCCTTTCATGTTAAGTTTAGAAGTAATCTGCATATGTTTGTTTCCTTAAAATACTATAATAGTCTAAAGAATCTAACATATTCAAGACCGACAGATTAGCCTGTTGCCTCCAGTTTTAAATATGTAATAGAATTTAGACTTGTCATGGAACCAACCTAAGTGTCCACCAACTGTGGATTGGATAAAGAAAATGTGGTTTGTATACCCCATGAAATACTCTGCAGCCATAAAAAAAAGAATGAAATCATGTCCTTTGCAGCAACATGGATGGAGCTGGAGGCCATTATCCTAAGTGAACTAACTCAGGCACAGAAAATCAAAAACCTCATGTTGTCGCTTGTAAGTAGGAGCTAAACCATGGGTATACGTGGACGTAAAGATGGAGATAATAGACACTGGGGACCCCAGAAATGGGGAGGGGTCTGAATGGGAGGGGAGAAGGGGAGAAGGGTTGAAGAATTGCCTATTGCATATAATGTTCAGTATTTGGATGATGGGCACACTGGAAGCCCGGTCTCCACTATTACGCGTGTAGTACCCATGTAACGAACAAGTACATGTACTCCCTGAATCTAAAATTAAAACACTTTTTTAAAAGAATTTAGAATTGTGATTTTAAGTTGTAAAGGGAAAAAATTCACCCCTAATAATATTGTTGTAAATATTATTAGGATTTCAAAGAAAACTGATGCTTTGCCATTTTAATACCATTTTATTTCTTAGATTTATAAGAATTTGTTATTTGAAGATATTTTGCTTGTTAAAGCCATAAGTTTGTTTTGTTAGGTAACTGAAATGCTTACAAAAGAAATGTAATATATTACATTTATAAAGCAGTTCATGGTGTTTAAGAGAATATAATTAATTAAATGTACAAATGATTATTCAGGGAGCTGAGTATCTTCAAGTTGAATTAATAGCTCATTAATCAAAGAAAATTGAAGGTCAGTGTTTTTATTTTTCCCCTTTTATAAACAGAGTAACAAGATTTGTAGTCTGAATATAACAGCTAAGGATAACTAGGTAATTTCATTTTAATGAAAGAACATTAATTTAAAACCTAAGCAACTAGAAGTGGTCCTTTCTGGACTGCCCTCAGACATTAAAGCCAAAAGCAAAACAATTCACAGCGACAGATAGTAATACGAATAGCTAATGTTTGCATAGGGTTCTACATTAAGGTGTGATTTTATCTTCCATTACAGATGAGAAGCTCGGGGAGGTTAGTAACTTGCTCAAGGCCAAGCGTCTAGGAAGTGGTGCAGGTTGAACTTGAGCTTGGCTCTTTGACTCCGGAGGCTGCACTCTTAACCACAGTGTTGGAGGATGTTTGGGTCTTGGTTTCTAGGGTCTGCAGCTGAGGTCCCTGGAGAAGGGCTGACACTTCCCTGACATACTCCAGTGAATGCTGTTTGGTCAGCACTTCCACCTGCTCAACCTCTCTGGTGCTCAACAGAAGACGTGGGCAGATCCTGGCTGCCTAGATTTGAACCCCAAAGTACCACTGCAGGTTTGTGTCCTTACAAAGTCTGATATCCACGTATGACCAGTTACAGATGTGAACTGTGAGAGCTACGCATTATTTTCTTCCTTGTGAAGTACATTCACCATTTCCCCTCACTGTCTTTCTCCCAATCATTTACATTTTAAAAGTTGGTGACATTTAGCATTACAATATAGTTTTTTGGTAACAGAGAGTTCAGGTGGGACTGAGGACTGAACTAGATGAGGAAATAATGTAGCCCAGAGATGGAAGCGGGGACTTGGTGTCTAATTTTTTGTGAAGAGGACAAGTGTGTCTTCATCTGTGTGGGTAATGGCTGTGTCCTGCTAAGCGGAAGCGTGGGTTGTAGTCAGTATTGTCATATGGAAGCTTAAACATGGTGGCATGGTCACTACTTGGTGGCCTGCACTGGGTCGTGTCTGTTGTCTCTGCCATCCTCTCTATTGCTGGGATTGGAAGCTTGAAAACTCTATTCCAACACTTTCTTGTCTGTCTACCTGTTAGGCTCTGCTAATAGTGGGGAGCGGACATCTGGCAGCACTTCTCCCAAGCAGTGAGATAGCAGTGGTGGCAGGAGCAGCAGCAGCAGCTGGTGAGTACTGCCCCTGGTAACACCGTTTTCCCTTTCGCTTCCTGTAGGTAGAAATTTGTAGGTAGTCTTACCTTCTTACAGCAATTCTAGCACCTCTGTCGCCAAGGCTTTGCGCTGGATTCCCTCTGTTTAACGTGTTTGCCATCGTTTCCACTCTGCTGATTGGGCGCTGCCTGATACAGATCTCATTCTCTTGTTTGCTTGTTGTGCTCAGCTCTTTGATTTCAAGACAGGTCCATCTCGCACTGTAGACACCAGGTCCGTTGCTTCTCACTGCTGCATATACCATGGAGCACGTGTTGGCCACATTTACCTCCCCTCCCCCAGGGATTGTTCATTCAGATTTCCGCCCAGTGATAAACAGTCTTAAACATGTTGTCTTTTTAGCCTTGTGTAAGAATTCCCCAGGAATAAAGTATGTACCCAGGAGTGACAGTGCTTGGTCATAGAGCATAGCTATGTCGTGTTCTAAGCACTGTAAGATTGCACTCCAAAGTAGCCATGTCCCCCACCCCCATGATGCTACATTTATTATTCTGTAACTGGATTTCCTTCACTTTATAAATGACAAAAATTTGAACAGTTCCAACTGGGGAAATTTAAGAAAAAAATTGAGATGCAACCTACAATAAAATATGGAAACAACTGAAACTGTGTTTCGGATAACAGCTTCTGGAGTCAGCCTACAAAGCCTGTCTACCATTAGCTGTGTGACCTTGGGGTAAGAGCCTAACCTCCCTGTGCCTGCCTCAATTTTCTCATTGGCAAAATGGATATAATAATAGTACCTGCCTTATTTTAGGATGTTATTAAATAATGTACATAAAGTGCTTAGAATATTCCCTGGCACACAGCAAGAACCCAATGACTGTTAGCTATTATTGCTGAACATTTAGGTAATTTTCAGTTTTTTTGCTATTTCTCAACAATGCTCCAATGACATTCAGGATTTTTTAAATAGTGGTAAAAGACACATAATGTTACATTTACCATGGAAGTTCAGAATTCTTAAGTGACCACCTGAGTACTCACACTGGAGCTCCGGCAGCAAACGCCAGCCTGGGTCTAACAACCTTCTGGCTTGGGACACTTGGATCTCTTTACAAGTAACAGTATCTCTAGATTGCCTGTTCCAATTGCTGCATGGTCAAGGCCTGTGACTGGATGTCCCCTTCCAGTGGTGTCTGGATTTCTGCATAGCCATGCCCTGACCAGGGCCTGCTTGAGCTTCTGGGGTGGGTCCTAATATATAGTCCTAATCTCAGGTCAGGTCAGGGAATGTCTGTGCACAGTTGCATGACATGAAAGGACAGCATTGATTCAAATCCCTGCTCCATGGCTTAGCATCTGTGTGATCTTCGGCAAGTGATCCAACTCTCTGAGCTCTGTTGCCTCACCTGTAAAGTGGAAATGATACCTATCTCACTGTGTTGCTGGGAAGATTTTGAGAACTGCAATGTGTCTTAGTCTGTTCAGGTTGCTCTAACAAAATACCATAGACAGCAGATACTTATTTCTCACAGTTCTGGAGGCTGTGAAATCCAAGATCAAGGCACTGCAGATTCAGTGTCTGGTGAAGGCCTTGCTGGCTGGTTCAGAGACAATGCCTTCTTGCCGTGTCCTCATTTGGTAGAAGGAACAAGCTAGCTGTCTGGGGGCGTCTTTTAAAAGGGCATGAACCCCAATCAGCAGAGCTCCACTAGTATGACCTAATCACCTCCCAAAGGGAGTGCAGTTACTCATATGCCCATTACCAAAGAACAGTCCTCTATCAGGGAGAGTTGTCCTCTTCAGCCAAGCCCACAGCTTCAGGAGGGACGCATGTGAAGTGGGGAGGGAGGAAGGGGACACTCACCTAGCCAGCCAGATCAGCTGAATCAACCCTGGTGATCAATGGCGCCACAGATGTCGCAGCCAGATCACCCTCACATCCTACCATGGTTTTGATTTCTATCATTTCTTTTTGATTCTTTCCTAGATTTCTCATCTCTCTGCTTATATTACCCATCTGTTCTTGTATGTTCTTTACTTTTTTTCCATTAGAGCCTGTAATGGCTAATTTTATATGTCGATTTTGAGGTTCCAAGATGCTTGTTGAAAGTGAGGTAAAATATTTAAAGTGTTGAAAGAAACAAACAACCATTAAATTTTGTAGCTAATGAAATTATTCTTCAAAAGTGAAGGAGAAATAAGGTTTGTTCTCATCAAAGGGTATTTGTAGCCATTAGACCCACCTCCAAAAATGTTAAAATAAAATTGTCAGAGAAAAGGAAAATGATATAGCTCAGAAATTTGGATCCAAAGAAATAAAGAATGTCAGAAAAGGGACAAGTATAGATTGGCTGACAGTAGACCAAAAAAAAAAAAAAGAAATGTGGTAAAATAAAATCTTTTAATTTTCTTATTCTTAATTACTTTGATAGATTATTACTTTGTGCAAAGTAATATTAGCAACAATGTGTTGGGTGGTTAAGTGAAATGAATGCTGTTAGTCTAGGAGGGAGGAATTGGGAATAGTCTTGTTATACATGGACTTACATTACTTGTAAATGTACATGAAAAATTCTAGGACAACTTTTTAAAAAATGTAAAGAAAACATATAATTGATATGCTAGAAGAAGAAAGAAAATGGAATCATATAAAATGCTTAATTAAAGCCAGACAAGGCAGAAAAAGAGAGAATTTTTTTAAAAGAAATAACAATAAAAGAAAAAAAAATAAAGGAAATAAGAACAAGTGCAACAAATAAAAAACAGCTACAAACGTGGTAGAATATCAGTGTAACTACATCAACAATCACTAAACCTGAATAGTCTAAATATCAACTAAAAGAGACTGTCAGAGTGATAAAACAAAGCAAGACCCCAACTATATGTTAAGAGCAATCTTCTTTAAATAAAAAGACCCAGATAGATTCAAAGTAAAGGAATGGAGAAAGATAAACTATGCTGTCACTAATCAAAAGAGGCCTAGAGCCACTGTGTTAATTTCAGGGAAAGCAGATTCAGAACAAGGAAAGCTGTCAGAGATAAAGAATGCATAATGATAAAGGCATCGATTCTCTAAGAAAACACAGCAATCTTTAACATATAGGCACTTCACAGCAGTGTCAAACTATCTGAGGCAAAAACTGACAGAACTGCAAGAAGAAATAGACAATTCCGCTGATATATTTGGAGAGGCCAATACCCCTCTATCAGTAATTGACAGATTCAGAAAATGGAAAATCAGGAATTACATCATTTACCTGAACAGCCTCATGAATTGTCTGGATTAAATTGACATTTATAGAATACTTCATCTAACAACAGCAAGAATACACAGTCTACACAAGCTCACATGAAGCATTCAGCAAGTGTTTGATATTGAATGTTTGTGTCCCTCTAAAATTCATAGGTTGAAGCCCTAATCCCTATGTGACTGTATTTGGAGATGGGGCCTTGAAGGAAGCCATTAAAGTTAAATGAGGTCCTATGGGTGGTGCCCCCATCCAACAGGATTGGTGTCTTTTTTTTCTTTTCTTTTGAGACCGGATCTTACTATGTTGCCCAGGCTGGAGTACAGTGGTGCAAACTCAGCTTACTGCAACCTCAGCCTCCAGAGCTCAAGTGATTCTCCTATCTCACCCTCCCGAGAAGCTGGTACTATAGGTGCCCAGCTAATTTTTGTGGTTTTTGTAGAGACAGGGTTTCCCCATGTTGTGTAGGCTGATCTTGAACTCCTGGGATCAAATGATCCACCTGTATCGGCCTCCCAAAGTGCTGGGATTACAGGTATGAGCCACGGCTCTCAGCTGCTTTAATGTCCTTGTAAGAGGAGACACCAGAGCGCTTGCATTCTCCGGTGTTCTCTCTGTCCCTTCCTCCCTCCCTCTCCACGTCCTGAGCTGGTGCACAAAGAGGAGGTCATGTGACCACAAAGCAAGAAAGTGGCTGGCTGCAACCGGAAGGAAGATCCCTCACCAGACACCAGCGTGGCTGGAACCTTGATCTTGGACTCCAGAACTATGAGAAAATACATTTTTGTTTTTTAAGCCACCTGGAGTATGGTATTTTGTTTTAGCATCCTGAGCAGATGAAGACATCAAGAGAGAAGACATCTGGGCAATAAAACACATTTTAACAAATGTAAAAGAATAGAAACCATACAAAGTAGGACGTCATATCACAATGGAATTGAAACGGGCGCGTACCCGTGAGTGCCCTGGAGTTTAAGCTCCACTGGCTTCAGGCAAATCTGCTTCTGCTGGTGGTTCCATTTCAGGCAGGGCAGGTCAGCCTCTCTGTGCACAGCTGTCCATTGTCCATTGCAAACTTCTCTCTCTCTCTGTAGCTGGGCTCCACGACATGCAAAGAAGGAAATTCTAAAGTTACAAGGACTCAAGTCTCCAGGGCACAGCCAGCCATTCTTGGTGACCATTTGGAGACCTGGTGTATTAGTCAGCGTTCTCTTAGAGGGACAGAACTAATCAGATATATGTATGTTATTAGTTAAGATATATATCTTATATATGCATATAAGATATATGTATCTATAAAGGGGAGTTTATTAAGTATTAACTTACACGACCACAAGGTCCCACAATAGGCCATCTGCAAGCTGAAGAGCAAGGAGAGCCAGCCCAAGTCCCAAAACTGAAGAACTTGGAGTCCAATGTTTGAGGTTAGGAAGCATCCAGCACGGGAGGAAGATGTAGGCTGGGAGGCTAGGCCCGTCTCGACTTCCCACATTTCTCTGCCTGCTTTATATTCGATGGAAGCTGATTAGGTTGTGCTCACCAGATTAAGGGCGGGTCTGCCTTTCCCAGCCCACTGACTCAAATGTTAATCTCCTTTGGCAACACCATCACACACACATCCAGGATCAATACTTTACATCCCTCATTCCAATCAGGTTGACACTTAGTATTAATCCTCACACCTGGCAACAGAGGAGATTTCTGTAGCCAGGGAAGTGGGGAAGTGGAATGTGTCTCACAGGATGGTCTCGAAGAGACATCAGAGTCTTCCCTCTGGCCTTGCAGGGGCCCATGCAGGTAGCTGCATGGAGCCCTTCTTTAGGTCAAGGTGATGATGTCACCTTCACTGACTTTTGGACTTCCTTGAGTCTGCAGGGGAGTGTCCATCCAGCCTCACAGTGAGCAGCAGCAGCTGACCAGATTGGAAGACATTTCCAGTGTCTTCCCTGGCAGCTGTGATGTGTTGTGAGGTGGCAGCTGAGGATTGCCTGCACGTAATCTTTGAGGTTCCAAGATGCTTGTTGGAAGTAGACAAGCAGCAGAAAGGCCAGCAAGATCCACGCTGGGTGGGGTGAAGTGGCGTGCGTGTCAGGGAAGTTGGCTTCGCAAACGAGGTTCAACATCACTGATTCCTGACCTGCAGCACCCAAATGGCCACAAAGAGATGTCCTGGGTTTTGAGGAGGCCACAGAGCCAACAGCTTTAGTGTCTTCAGAAGGATGAAGAAAACTTGAACAACATTCTTAAGTAGCTTTATTGAGATGTAATTCACATCCCAGAGAATGCATTCACTTAGAGGATACAATTCAATGGATTTTGTATATTCACAGAACTATGCATTCATCATTGCAATTAATTATAGAACATTTTCACTTACTGAAAAACCCCAACATCCCTTAGCTATTACTCTAATTTCCCTATCTCCCCCAGCCCTAGGTAACCATTAATCTTTTTTTTTGTATCCATAGATTTGCCTATCCTAGACATTTCATATAAATTGAATCATGCAGTATATGACCCTTCTTCACTTTGTGTAGCGCTTTCAAGGTATATCCATGTGATATCAGTTCCTCATTCCTTCTATGGACAAATAATACTCCGTTGTATGGATCTACCACATTTTATTTATCTGTTCATCAGGTGGTGGACATTTGGGTTGGTTTCTATGTTTTTGGCTGTTATGAATGACGTCACCATGAACATTCATGTACAAGTGTTTGTGTGGACATGTGTTTCCATTTCTCTTGGGCATATGCCTAGGATTGGAATTGAGTCGTATGGTAACACTATAACCATTTGAGGAACTTCCAGACCGTTTTTTAAAGTGGCTACACCATTGTACATTCACACCACTAATGTGCAAAGGTTCCAGTTTCTCCATATGTTTTTCAACTGTTTTTATTATCTGATTTTTAAATTAAAGCTATCCTAGTGGATGTGAAGCAATATCTCATTATGGTTTTGATTTGTATTTCTCTTATGGCTAATAATATTGAGGACCTCTTTATCTGCTTATTGGCCATTTGTATATATTTTGAAGGAATTATCTATTCAGATTCTTTGCTCATTTTTGAGTTGGGCTATTTGTCTTTTTATTCTTGAGTTGTAATTGTTCTTTATATATTCTAGATACAAGAACCTTATTATGTTTATGATTTGCAAAATACTTTTTCCCATTCTTTGGGTTGTCTTTTCACTGTTTTGATAGTGTCTTTCGAAGCCTCAAAGTTTTAAATTATGATGGTCAGTTTATCTATTTTTTCTTTTGTTGCTCAAGGTTTTGGTGTCATATCTAAGAAAACAGTGCCAAATCCAGAGTCATAAAGACTTATCCTTATGTTTTCTTCTGTGACTTTTATAGTTTTAGCTCTTGTTTATAGGTCATTGATGATTTTGAGTTCGTTTTTGTATACAGTGTGAGATATGGATCCAACTTCATTCTTTTGCATGTGAAAATTCAGTTGTCCCCACATCATTTGCTGAGGGGACTATTCTTTTTCCATTGAAAGAGGTTGGCACACTTGCTGAAAATCAACTGGCCAGATATATGGGTTAATTTCTGGGCTCTCAATTCCATTCTGTTGATGTATAGATCTGTTCTTAACCTCGTACCACATGGTTTTGATTACTGTCATTTTGTAGCAGATTTTAAAATTGAGAAGCATAAATTATCTAAGTTTTGGGTTTTCTTTCATTTCCATATGCATTTTAAAAGCAGCTTATCCATTGCTGTAGTTGAACTTTTGATAGGAATTGCATTGAATTTGTAATCTGGGAGTATTATTATCTTAATAATGTTAAGTTTTAAACAAGCCCATTCAAAAGTGGGCAAAGGATATGAACAGACACTTTACAAAAGAAGACATACATGAGGCCAACAAACATATGAAAAAATGCTCATCATTACTGGTCATTAGAGAAATGCAAATCAAAACCACATTGAGATACCATCTCACGCCAGTTAGAATGGCAATTGTTAAAAAATCTGGAGACAACAGATGCTGGAGAGGATGTGGAGAAATAGGAACACTTTTACACTGCTGGTGGGAGTGTGAATTAGTTCAACCATTGTGGAAGACAGTGTGGTGATTCCTCAAGGACCTAGAAATAGAAATTCCATTTGATCCAGCAATCCCATTACTGGGTATATATCCAAAGGACTATAATTCGTTCTACTATAAGGACACATGCACACGAATGTTCATTGCAGCACTGTTTACAATAGCAAAGACCTGGAACCAACCCAAATGCCCATTGATGATAGACTGGACTGGGAAAATGTGGCACATATACACCATGGAATATCTTGCAGCAATCAAAAATGATGAGTTCATGTCCTTTGTAAGGACATGTATGAACCTGGAGAACATCATTCTCAGCAAACTGACACAAGAACAGAAAATGAAATACCGCATGTTCTCACTCATAGGTGGGTGTTGAACAATAAGAACACATGGACACAGGGAAGGGAGTACTACACACTGGGGTCTGTTGGGGGAAAATAGGGGAGGGACAGTGGGGGGTGGGGAGTTGGGGAGAGATAGCATGGGGAGAAAAGCCAGATATAGGTGAAGGGGAGGAAGGCAGAAAATCACACTGCCACGTGTGTACCTATGCAACTATCTTGCATGTTCTTCACATGTACCCCAAAACCTAAAATGCAATAAAAAAATAATAATGTTAAGTTTTTTGGTCTATGAACATGGGATGTCTTTCCATTCATTTAGATTCTTTAGTTTTCAACAGTATTTTGTAGCTTTCAGAGCATAAGTTTTGTACTTCTTTTGTCAAATATATTCATAAGTATCTGATGTAAATGGATTTTGTTTTTAAAGACAAAGTCTTGCTCTGTTGCCCAGGCTGGAGTGCAGTGGTGTGATCTTAGCTCACTGCAACCTCCCACTCCTGGGTTCAAGCAATTCCCCTGCCTCAGCCTTCTGAGTAGTTGGGATTGCAGGTGCCCACTACCATGCCTGGCAAATTTTTTGTATTTTTAGTAGAGAAGGGGTTTCACCACGTTGACCTGGCTGGTCTCAAACTCCTGACCTCAAGTGATCCACCCACCTCAGCCTCCCAAAGTGCTGAGATTACAGGCGTGAGCCACTGTGCCCAGACTGCAATTGTTTTCTTTTTTTTTTATTGCATTTTAGGTTTTGGGGTACATGTGCAGAGCATGCAATACAGTTGCATAGGTACACACAGGGCAGTGTGTTTTGTTTGCTTTCTCCCCTTCACCCACATTTGGTATTTCTCCCCTGGCAATCCCTCCCCATCTCCCCCTCCCACTGGCCCTCCCCTTTTCCCCCTATAGACCCCAGTGTTTAGTACTCCCCTCTCTGTGTCCATGCGTTCTCATTTTTCATCACCCGCCTATGAGTGAGAATATGCGGTGTTTCATTTTCTGTTCTTGTGTCAGTTTGCTGAGAATGATGTTCTCCAGATTCATCCATGTCCCTATAAACGACACTAACTCATCATTTCTGATTGCTGCATAATATTCCATGGTGTATATGTGCCACATTTTCCCAATCCAGTCTATCATTGATGGGCATTTGGGTTGATTCCAGGTCTTTGCTATTGTAAACAGTGCTGCAATCAACATTCGTGTGCATGTGTCCTTGTAGTAGAACGATTTATAGTCCTTTGGATATATACCCAGCAATGGGATTGCTGGGTCAAATGGGATTTCTATTTCTAAGGCCTTGAGGAATCGCCACACCGTCTTCCACAATGGTTGGACTAATTTACACTCCCACCAACAGTGTAAAAGTGTTCCTTTTTCTCCACATCCTCTCCAGCATCTGTTGTCTCCAGATTTTTTAATGATCGCCATTCTAACTGGAGTGAGATGGTATCTCAATGTGGTTTTGATTTGCATCTCTCTGATGACCAGTGACGATGAGCATTTTTTCATATGATTGTTGGCCTCATATATGTCTTCTTTCGTAAAGTGTCTGTTCATATCCTTTGACCACTTTTGAATGGGCTTGTTTATTTTTTTCCTGTAAATCTGTTTGAGTTCTTTGTATATTCTGGATATCAGCCCTTTGTCAGATGGGTAAACTGCAAAAATTTTTTCCCATTCTGTTGGTTGCCGATTCACACTAGAGACTGTTTCTTTTGCTGTGCAGAAGCTGTGGAGTTTCATTAGGTCCCATTTGTCTATTTTGGCTTTTGTTGCCAATGCTTTTGGTGTTTTGTTCATGAAGTCCTTGCCTACTCCTATGTCCTGGATGGTTTTGCCTAGATTTCTTTCTAGGGTTTTTATGGTGCCGGGTCTTATGTTTAAGTCTTTAATCCATCTGGAGTTAATTTTGGTGTAAGGTGTCAGGAAGGGGTCCAGTTTCTGCTTTCTACACATGGCTAGCCAGTTTTCCCAACACCATTTGTTGAACAGGGAGTCCTTTCCCCATTGCTTGTTTTTGTCAGGTTTATCAAAGATTGTATGGTTGTAGCTACGTTGTGTTGCCTCTGATGCCTCTGTTCTGTTCCATTGATCTATATCTCTGTTTTGGTACCAGTACCATGCTGTTTTGATTACTGTAGCCTTATAGTATAGTTTGAAATCTGGTAGTGTGATGCCCCCCGCTGTGTTCTTTTTGCTTAGAATTGACTTGGCTATGCGGGCTCTCTTTTGGTTCCATATGAAGTTCAAGGTGGTTTTTTCCAGTTCTGTGAAGAAAGTCAATGGTAGCTTGATGGGGATAGTGTTGATTCTGTAAATTACTTTGGGCAGTATAGCCATTTTCATGATATTAATTCTTCCTAACCATGAACATGGAATGTTTCTCCATCTGTTTGTGTCCTCTCTGATTTCGTTGAGCAGTGGTTTGTAGTTTTCCCTGAAGAGGTCCCTTACGTTCCTTGTGAGTTGTATTCCAAGGTATTTTATTCTTTTTGTAGCAATTGTGAATGGCAGTTCATTCTTGATTTGGCTCTCTTTAAGTCTGTTATTGGTGTAGAGGAAGGCTTGTGATTTTTGCACATTGATTTTATATCCTGAGACTTTGCTGAAGTTGCTTATCAGTTTCAGGAGTTTTTGGGCTGAGGCGATGGGGTCTTCTAGGTATATTATCATGTCATCTGCAAATAGAGACAATTTGGCTTCCACCTTTCCTATTTGAATACCCTTTATTTCTTTTTCTTGCCTGATTGCTCTGGCTAGAACTTCCAGTACTATATTGAATAGGAGTGGTGACAGAGGGCATCCTTGTATAGTGCCAGATTTCAAAGGGAATGCTTCCAGTTTTTGCCCATTCAGTATGATATTGGCTGTTGGTTTGTCATAAATAGCTTTTATTACTTTGAGATACGTTCCATTGATACCGAGTTTATTGAGGGTTTTTAGCATAAAGGGCTGTTGAATTTTGTCAAATGCCTTCTCTGCATCAATTGAGATAATCATGTGGTTTTTGTTTTTGGTTCTGTTTATGTGGTGAATTACGTTGATAGACTTGCGTATGTTGAACCAGCCTTGCATCCCCGGGATGAATCCTACTTGATCATGATGAATAAGTTTTTTGATTTGCTGTTGCAATCGGCTTGCCAATATTTTATTGAAGATTTTTGCATCTATGTTCATCATGGATATTGGCCTGAAGTTTTCTTTTCTTGTTGGGTCTCTGCCGGGTTTTGGTATCAGGATGATATTGGTCTCGTAGAATGATTTGGGTAGGATTCCTTCTTTTTGGATTATTTGGAATAGTTTCAGAAGAAATGGTACCAGCTCCTCTTTGTGTGTCTGGTAGAATTCGGCTGTGAACCCGTCTGGACCTGGGCTTTTTTTGTGTGGTAGGCTCTTAATTGCTGCCTCGACTTCTGCCCTTGTTATTGGTCTATTCATAGTTTCAGCTTCCTCCTGGTTTAGGCTTGGGAGGACACAGGAGTCCAGGAATTTATCCATTTCTTCCAGGTTTACTAGTTTATGTGCATAGAGTTGTTTGTAATATTCTCTGATGATGGTTTGAATTTCTGTGGAATCTGTGGTGATTTCCCCTTTATCATTTTTTATTGCATCTATTTGGTTGTTCTCTCTTTTCTTTTTAATCAGTCTGGCTAGTGGTCTGTCTATTTTGTTGATCTTTTCAAAAAACCAGCTCTTGGATTTATTGATTTTTTTGGAGGGTTTTTCGTGTCTCAATCTCCTTCAGTTCAGCTCTGATCTTAGTTATTTCTTGTCTTCTGCTGGGTTTTGAGATTTTTTGATCTTGCTCCTCTAGCTCTTTCAATTTTGACGATAGGGTGTCAATTTTGGATCTCTCCATTCTTCTCATATGGGCACTTATTGCTATATACTTTCCTCTAGAGACTGCTTTAAATGTGTCCCAGAGATTCTGGCATGTTGTGTCTTCGTTCTCATTGGTTTCGAAGAACTTCTTTATTTCTGCCTTCATTTCGTTGTTTATCCAGTCAACATTCAGGAGCCAGTTGTTCAGTTTCCATGAAGCTGTGTGGTTCTGGGTTGGTTTCTGAATTCTGAGTTCTAACTTGATTGCACTATGGTCTGAGAGGCTGTTTGTTATGATTTCAGTTGTTTTGCATTTGCTGAGCAGTGCTTTACTTCCAATTATGTGGTCAAGTTTAGAGTAGGTATGAGGTGGTGCTGAGAAGAATGTATATTCTGTGGATTTGGGGTTCTGTAAATGTCTATCAGGTTTGCTTGCTCCAGGTCTGAGTTCAAGCCCTGGATATCCTTGTTGATTTTCTGTCTGGTTGATCTGTCTAATATTGACAGTGGAGTGTTAAAGTCTCCCACTATTATTGTGTGGGAGTCTAAGTCTCTTTGTAAGTCGTTAAGAACTTGCCTTATGTATCTGGGTGCTCCTGCATTGGGTCCATATATGTTTAGGATCATTAGCTCTTCTTGTATCGATCCTTTTACCATTTTGTAATGGCCTTCTTTGTCTCTTTTGATCTTTGTTGCTTTAAAGTCTATTTTATCAGAGATGAGGATTGCAACTCCTGCTTTCTTTTGCTCTCCATTTGCTTGGTAAATCTTCCTCCATCCCTTTATTTTGAGCCTTTGTGTATCCTTGCATGTGAGATGGGTTTCCTGGATACAGCACACTGCTGGGTTTTGGCTTTTTATCCAATTTGCCAGTCTGTGTCTTTTGATTGGTGCATTTAGTCCATTTACATTTAGGGTTAATATTGTTATGTGTGAGTTTGACACTGCCATTTTGATGCTAGCTGGCTGTTTTGCCCGTTAGTTGTTGTAGATTCTTCATTATGTTGATGCTCTTTAGCATTTAGTGTGATTTTGGAATGGCTGGTACTGGTTGTTCCTTTCTATGTGTAGTGCCTCTTTCAGGAGCTCTTGTAAAGCAGGGCTGGTGGTGACAAAATCTCTGAGTGCTTGCTTGTTTGCAAAGGATTTTATTTTTCCTTCACTTCTGAAGCTCAGTTTGGCTGGATATGAAATTCTGGGTTGAAAGTTCTTTTCTTTAAGGATGTTGAATATTGGCCCCCACTCTCTTCTGGCTTGTAGAGTTTCTGCCGAGAGATCTGCTGTGAGTCTGATGGGCTTCCCTTTGTGGGTGAACCGACCTTTCTCTCTGGCTGCCCTTAGTATTTTCTCCTTTATTTCAACCTTGTTGAATCTGACGATTATGTGCCTTGGGGTTGCTCTTCTTGCGGAATATCTTTGTGGTGTTCTCTGTATTTCCTGCATTTGAGTGTTGGCCTGTCTTGCTAGGTGGGGGAAATTTTCCTGGATAATGTCCTGCAGAGTATTTTCCAGCTTGGATTCATTCTCTTCATCACATTCTGGTACGCCTATCAAACGTAGGTTAGGTCTCTTCACATAGTCCCACATTTCTTGGAGACTTTGTTCATTCCTTTTTGTGCTTTTTTCTCTGATCTTGGTTTCTCATTTTATTTCATTGAGTTGATCCTCGACTTCTGATATTCTTTCTTCTGCTTGGTCAATTCGGCTATTGAAACTTGTGCATGTTTCGTGAAGTTCTCGTATTGTGTTTTTCAGCTCCTTTAATTCATTCATATTCCTCTCTAAGGTATCCATTCTTGTTATCATTTCCTCAAATCTTTTTTCAAGGTTCTTAGTTTCTTTACGTTGATTTAAAACATGTTCTTTTAGCTCACAAAAGTTTCTCATTATCCACCTTCTGAAGTCTAATTCTGTCATTTCGTCACAGTCATTCTCCGTCCAGCTTTGTTCCCTTGCTGGTGAGGAGTTTTGGTCCTTTCTAGGTGGCGAGGTGTTCTGGTTTCAGGTGTTTTCCTCCTTTTTGCGCTGGTTTCTTCCCATCTTTGTGGATTTATCCACCTGTCGTCTGTGTAGTTACTGACTTTTTGATTGGATCTCTGAGTGGACACCCAGATTGTTGATGATGGAGTATTTCTGTTACTTGGTTTTCCTTCTACCAGTCTAGCCCCTTCGCTGTACAACCGCTGAGGTCCACACCAGGCCCTGCTTGTCTGGGGTGCACCTGTAGCGGCTGCGGAACAGCGAGGGATGCTACCAGTTTCTTTTTCTGCTATCTTTGTCCCAGGATGATGTCTGCCGAATGTCAGTCTTATGGATATAGAGGGGTCAGGGAGTTGCTTGAGGAGACAGTCTGTAGGAGCTCAAGTGCTGAGCTGTGAGCTCTGTTGTTCATTCAGGGCTGCTAGGCTGCTATGTTTAGTTCTGTTGCAACCTAACTCATAAGAAAACCCCTTTTTTTTCCTCAGATGCTCTGTCTGGGGGGGGGGTTGGGGCTTTCCTTGTGAGTGTCCGCCTCACTGTCCTGCCCAGCTAGGAGGCAGTCTAGTCACTTTTTGCCTGCCGAGGCTCCGCCCTGCTGGTGTGAGGTTCGCCCTTTTCCTGCAGGCTCCGCCCTTCTGCTGTGGTCTCCGCCCTGTTGCCTCGGGCTACGCCCTGCGGCGGAGTCTCTCTGTTGTACCGGGTTGCCTCGCAGCGGCAGGCTGCGTCAGCAATGGGCGTGTACCTCAGTAGGGGCTGATTGCCTCGGTAATGGCTGACGCCCCTCCCCCGCGGAGCTGCACTTTAAAAAAAAAACCTATTCACCGGGAGCGTTTGGAATCGCCGTTTTGTTTGTCGCACTGCGCTCCCCCAAACGCTGAGTCCCTGGGATTTCCTGGGCTGGGTCACAGTTCAAGACCCGTTCAGTCTCAAGTTCAGCCCTCTCGGGTCTTAGTTTGCCGGTTCAACAGGGCACCCGTAACAGTGCGCTTTTGTATGGAGCGCTGTGGAGTGCCTCTGTGCTCCGGCGCGGGCCAGAGCCGCACCGGTTACCGGCTACGCCAGCGGAGACCTCTGCCTGGCGTCCCGCGTCTCTTTTATACCTGGGAATTTCCCCGTTCTGTGGGCAACTAAGATCCGTCTGGGAATGCTTCCCCGACTCACCCTCTCCGTGCGCCCAGCGAGAGCTTCAATCCTGGGTTGTTCTCTGCAATTGTTTTCTTAACTTCATTTTCTGTTTGCTCATAGCTACAGTATAAAAATACAACTGATTTTTGTACACTGATCACATATCCTTGTAAACTTGCTGAACTCATTTATTAGTTTAATCATTTTTAGTGAATTCCCTAGGATTTTCTTGAACCCCCAGCCTCAGGTGATCCACCTACCTTGGCCTCCAAAGTGCTTGGATTACAGGCATGAGCCACCACGCCCAGCCGAATTCCTTAGGATTTTCAATGTACAAGATCATGTTATCAGCAAATGAAGATAGTTGTACTTCTTCCTTTCCAATATGGATTGCTTTTGCTTCATTTCCTTGCCTCGTTGCCTGGCTGGCTTCTGTAGTATAATGTTGAACAGAAGTTGAGTGAACAGACATCCTTGTCTTGTTCCTGATCTTCTGGGGAAGGCATTTTGTGTTTCAGCATTGAGAGAAAACCCCTTAGCCATGGCCTTTTCTAGACGTCCTTTATCAGGTTGAGGAGACTGAGTTCCTTAGAGGAGAAGCTGTGTCAGCTCTGAGGTAAGGCACAGCATCATCAGCTTTCGGAGTCTGAAGTCCTGGCTGGCTGGGCAGTGATGTCCTGAAGGATGTGGACATGCTGGACTGGAGCTCTGGAGATTTGAGGGGAGGCCCCACTGCAGACCTGGGTATGGGAATAAAAAGGATTTACACACCAGTCAAACAAAGGCACATTGCCTAAATGAAACGTTAACTTTAATGCGTCCTAAGTTTCCATACCTCCAAGTTTTATGTAGTCTGCGTTTTTTGTTTTTTTGTTTGTTTTCTTGTTTTTTGAGACGGAGTCTCGCTCTTGTTATCCAGGCTGGAGGGCAATGGTGCGATCTCGGCTCACTGCAACCTCTGCCTCCTGGGTTCAGGCAATTCTCCCACCTCAGCCTCCTGAGTAGCTGGGATTACAGGCACGTGCCACCATGCCCAGCTAATTTTTTGTATTTTCAGTAGAGACAGGGTTTCACCTTGTTGACCAGGATGGTCTCAATCTCTTGACCTCGTGATCCACCTGCCTCGGCCTCTCAAAGTGCTGGGATTACAGGCTTGAGCCACTGCGCCCAGCCCGCGTTTTTTTTTTTTTTTATTTTTATTTATTTTTTTTTTATTGCCAAATCAGGTAAATTTAAATTCGTTCTGTCTTATTTTAGACAGGGTCTTGTTCCGTCGCCAAGGCTGAAGTGCAATGATACAATCTCAGCTCACTGCAACCTCTGCCCCCTGGGTTCAAGGGATTCTCCTGCCTCAGCCTCCCAAGTAGCTGGAATTACAGGCATCTGCCACCACGCCTGGCTAATTTTTGTATTTTTAGTATAGATGGGGATTCATTATGTTGGTCAGGCTGGTCTTGAACTCCTGACCTCAGGTGATCTGCCCGCCTCGGCCTTCCAAAGCACTAGAATTACAGGCGTGAGCCACCGTGGCTGGCCTTTCATTCTGTCCTTATATAACACAATACACCTACCTCCTATGCAACAGAAGCATCCAACCTGCTTATCAAATATGGCTATCTACTCAAAACTCTAAAGAATATAAGAAAAAGAAAGGTAACTAGCTCCAATAACAAAATATAGATATTAGTTACAATTTTTTTGGCTTAGAAAATCCCTTTGGAAAAACAAAGAAAAAACTCATTGGGATATTTCCTCTTTCTGTATAGAATGATAAGCCCTAAGAAATGTAGGTGTTTTATTTTGGCCTTAAAGCGATATCACTGACAAATGAAAACCTACTGCTGATGTCCTTTATCAGATTGAGGAGCCTGAGTTCTTCAGAAGAGGAGAGGTGTCCGCTCTGAGGTGATGCACAGCATTGTCAGCTTTCAGAGTCTGAGGTCCTGGCTGGCTGGGAGGAGGTGATGTCCTAAAGGATGTCCATGATGGGCTGGGGCTCTGGGGACTTGAGGGGAGGTCACGCTGCAGTCCTGGGTATGGGAATAAAAAGGCAATATCAAAGCCAGTAATTGGACCATGGGAGTGAACCATCTCAGGAAGAGAAGAATGGGTGGAGAAAAGAGCATCAGGGCCAGAGACGTGGGAGAGGGGAGCCCGAGAACTGGTCAGAAGGAGGAGAAAATCCAGCTCGTGCGGGGAGGAGAGAAGTGCCCCAGCAGCTGAAGACGGCGCCAGAGCCCACTAGCTGGGGGCACCCTACAGGAGAATGGGCCAGACCCGCTAGGGGCCGCCGAGAGCTGTGCATGCGGCCTCACGACACCAGGTGGCGCAGTGGACCATTCTAACAGCCGCTCCTCTTAGCCCCGGTGGATTCTTTTCATTAAAGACGAATGAGGTCGGGCGCTGTGGCTCAAGCCTGTAATCCCAGCACTTTGGAAGGCCGAGGCGGGTGGATCACGAGCTCAAGAAATCGACACCATCCTGGTCAACCTGGTGAAACCCCGTCTCTACTAAAAACGCAAAAAATTAGCTGGGCATGGTGGCGCGTGCCTGTAATCCCAGCTGCTCAGGAGGCCGAGGCAGGAGAATTGTCTGAACCCAGGAGGCGGAGGTTGCGGTGAGCCGAGATCGCGCCATTGCACTCCAGCCTGGGTAACAAGAGCGAAACTCCATCTCAAAAAAAAAGACGAATGAATGAGCTGGGGCCTCGCCAAGCTCCTGTTTAACAGATGGAGCCTCTAAAGGGGGCTATGAGTTTCCTGAAAGCATTATGCGGATATTGCGGCAAAGGTGGGGCCACTTCTCACCTCCTGGTTCCTATCCGAGACTCTCTCTCCAGTCATCCCCCGACCTACCCCAAAGGGATCTGGAAAAGTGGCTGGCGGAATACCCAGTCAGGAGGCAGCCTGGAGGGACGTGAGGTCCACCAAGCCCACCCAGGTCCCTAGCACCAACCGCTTTTCAGTGTTGCCCGCGGTGAGATCATCTTCCTTGGCTTTCCCATGGATTCTCTGCCTCCGGTTCCCCACTTCCCCATTCTCCTTCCACCCACAGACACATGATTTTCAGTTTAAGCTGAATTGAGTCACTCCTGCCTGCCACGCCTACCCGGTAACATCCCCTAGGCACTCAAAAGTGTTCTTTCCCCCTCATTCATCTCCCTCATCGCAGCCACATCCTGAACCTACACTCACTTTGAGATTTGGTTGTTAAAGCATGGCCTGCTTTAACAATTCTTCATGAAAGCTGCTGGTTTTGTCTGTAATACTCCTCCTGCCCTCTTCCCTGCCCCCTAATTAGTGTTTGGTCTCAGTTAGGACTTCCCTGACTTCCCCGGTGGCTTCTGTGGTGCATCTCCCCTTTGCTTTGACCTCCCCGCCCTCTTTGTCATGTTGCTTGTTTAGCATCTTTTCCCTCTAGACTGAGGCTCCAGAGCAGTATGCAGGGTCCATGTTAGGTGCAGCCTGTCATCAGCGTCCAGCCATGGCTCTCTGCAGGTCATGGGAACTAAAGGTGGCCATGCTGGCAGGGCAAGATAGGAGCTGGTGCCAGGAGTTACAGGGCAGTATCTCGAGGACAGCCCTGCTGGGTTCTAAGATACAGCCAAGAGTGTCTGGAATGATGGGCGGAGCATCAACTGGTTTCAGAGTTTGAACAAATGGTGTTCAGAACAGCACGGTCTGCCTGAATGATCAGCCAGAGTGCCCGGACTGAGGGTCCTACAGAAGGACACCCACTGTCACTCTCACTTCCATATTCCAGAACCAGGGATATTTTAGTGTGTGGGAAAGTAAAGCAATCGTTGAGTTTGATTTCCATCCCAAGTATTGGAAAATGTGGGGGTGCATCTGCAGTAGATAAGTCTCAGCAGGGCCTTTGTTCTGACCCAGTCAGAGCTCAACCAGAATTGGGGCCAATAGATCCTTGAGCCAGACAATGAAAACATGGAGGGACCCATATAGCTGAGGGGTGACAAGCATCCAGCCACGCCATTACTGTGGATACGACGCTTGTTGGCCCATAGGACAAACTCTTCAAAACATCTCCCTCTCCCTCCCCGCTTGCAGCAGGTTGCATCAGTGGGTGGTAATAGAGGCCCTGAATCTTCCCAGTGCATGAGCAGGAAAGCTGAGGGGCTCCATGAATGCAAGTTTGCTACACAAAAGAAGTCACCTGTCTTTTTATGGACAGAGACTTCTGGAAGCTTCAAGAAATACAAAATGATCTAAATGAGCTTTACTCCTTTCTATTTGATATTTCAACATTACAAATATTTAAAATCTTTTTTCCAGGAGTATTCAAAATTGGACAATAAAAATTAGGCAGTCCAGGGGCCAGCCATGGTGGCTCATGCCTGTAATCCCAGCACTTTGGGAGGCCAAAGTGTGTGGATCACTTGAGGTCAGGAGTTCAAGACCAGCCTGGCCAACATGGTGAAACCCCGTCCCTACTAAAAAAATAAAAAATTAGCTGGGCGTGGTGGTGGACACTTGTAATCCCAGCTACTCAGAAGGCTGAGGCAGGAGAATCGCTTGAACCTGGGAGGCAGAGGTTGCAGTGAGCTGAGATCGTCCCATTGCACTGCAGCCTGGGCAACAGAGCAAGGCTTCGTCTCACACAAAAAAAAAAAAAAAAAAGAAAAAGAGAAAATTAGGCAGTCCTTTGTTTCTGTGGGAAGCTTTGACTCTGACAAACAGGAACAAGACTGTGGTCTTCAAATCTGGCTCTTTGCCCTCAGCCAGAATCTCCTCAAAATCGTCAGCCCAAACTTACCCACTTCCTGAAGACAGAGGATTCTTTCTAGTTGAGGGGAATGTAAAGCAATGTGCAGTGCAGGAAGTCACTGGTTCCTGCATGGGAGAGGAGCGGGCAGAGAGATGGGGGAGGGATAGAAAATCAGGACTGGCTCTCTATGGAGGGGGACTGAGGAAATTCTGGAGACACTTTGAAGTAGCTTCAGGCTGAGATAGATGTCATCAGGAAAGCCCCTTCTAAAAGTGACTCCAAACGTTTTGGGATAAAGGTGTTAAAAACATAAACTAGGTCGCCAGGAATAAGTATATAAAGTAGTGAGTGTGGGGGTCCAAAGGCAATATCAGGACATTTGCCGTGCTCACTGGGCAGTGTAGGAACCGAGGTTGCACCTCCCGTGTGTGTGAACCCGAGAGGAGCTGCTCATCTGTGAAGCAGGAGGTTGAATGAGGTAGTTTCTCCATGCCTCGTCTGTCCTCTGTGGGACTAATAGTGGTCATGCCGGGAGAGCTGGAGAGTTTAGCAAGACAGGAGGCCTGTCCCTTCTGACATCACCTTAGCTCCCCACCTGGGATCACAGTGCATACTGTGTTCTTCAATTTAGGCCAAGTTTGCAGACGAAAGTGATAGAACCATCGGCAAAAGATGGAGAAGGGAAGGCCATTGATGTGATATTCTACTCAACCTTTTGTTCAAGGACAAGACGCTTGGTTTAGGCTGGAATCTATAGTTTGATTAGCTTGGAATCGGTGTGTGCTATGGTCTGAATGTTTGTGACCCCTAAAAGGTATATATTGAAATCTAATCCCCAATATGATGGCATTTTAAGGTGGTGGCTTTGGGAAGTGATTAAGTCATAAAGGTCGAACCTTCATGAGTGAGATTAACACCGTCACAAAAGAGGCCCCAGAGAGCTCCAATGCCCCTCTCACCATGGGAGGACGCAGCAGAAAGACGGCCATCTATGAACCAGGAAGTGGTACCTCACCAGACACTGCACCTTGATCTTGAACTTCCCAGACTCCAGAACAGGGAGAAATACATTTCTGTTGTGTATACACCACCCACTCTATGGTATTTTGTTGTACCAACTCGAACACTTGTAGACAGTGTGTGTGTGTGAAAGTTTTGAAGGTCACCCCCTTTTTCATTCTATCGCAATGGAAGCTTATGCAGCTCCAGAACAAAATCCCACAGTCAAAAGGTCTTTCGTCCATCACTATTTTAAAGACAGGGTTATACAATTCAAATGATCAGATCTGTAATAATTATCATCTTTTAAAAATAATCTTTATTGAGTATATAATGGACGGCCAAATTTTTTTAAAAAACAAATATGCAGCACAATAGAGGTATATTTTCTTGGTTTCCAAATTCCATGTAATAAACTCGTGACAACTGCCTTGAACACAAAATACAGAGCCTCTGACTCAGAGACTTCCCCATTAGAGTCTGAAACTCCAGCCCACACTTTGCTATACCTTGGCAAGTCTCTGAAAACGTAGGGTACACACCTATTTTGTAGATTTCAGCAGTAAGCTGTTTTTCCAAAATGTACAGATATGTACACAGACATGAAATGGGCTCGTCTGGCTTTTGAAACATTTTAAAATACCATTTAAATCACTAGGACAATTACATATATAAAAAAGCAACTGTTCACTTATTGCTTCAGTTACCTATATTCTATTCCTCTTAGCATAAGACTGCCTTACCCCAGATTCTAGGCCCAAGAGCTCTTCATTGTATTCAATCTTAGTCCATCCACTGCTCATCTTTAAGTTCCACCAAAGATACGAGATCAAATAAAATCAAAACGTATTTATTTAATGCCTACAACAGGCAACACCTTGAGATGGAATAATGAAATTCTTTCACTGAAGAGCTTATAACTTGGTTACAGATGTACACTTGAATTACTCATTGTTTTAGGGCTGATGGCCAAGATTCTTCCCACTTCAAATGAGCCAGCCTGATGGGACATCTTGATACATTATGAGTAACAGTCGATGCAAAACTACTTTTTTATTTAACTACTTACTGCTCTTGTTTTTTTTTTTTTTTTTTCTTGTGAGACAGAGTCTCACTGTTGCCCAGGCTGGAGCGCAGTGGCAGGATCTCCCCTCACTGCAACATCTGCCTCCTGGGTTCAAGCAATTCTCATGCCTTAGTCTCCTGAGTAGTGGGGATTACAGGCACACACCACCATACCCGGCTAATGCCCAGACAAATTTTTTTTTTTTTTTTTGAGAAGGAGTCTTGCTCTATCACCCCCAGGCTGGAGTGCAGGGGCGTGATCTCAGCTCACTGCAACCTCTGCCTCCCAAATTCAAGTGATTCTCCTGCCTCAGACTCCCAAGTAGCTGGGACTACAGGCACCCACTACCACGCCCGGCTAATTTTTATATTTTTAGTAGAGACAGGGTTTCCCCATGTTGGCCAGTCTGATCTCGAACTCCTGACCTCATGATCCGCCCACCTTGGCCTACCAAAGTTGGCCTCTGGGATTACAGGCATGAGCCACCGTGCCTGGCCTAATTTTCATATTTTTAGTAGAGACAGGGCTTTACCATGTTGGCCAGTCTGGTCTTGAAGTCCTGGCCTCAAGCAATCCGCCTGCTTCTGTCTCCCAAAGTGCTGGGATTACAGGTGTGAGCCACAGCACATGGCTTTGACTACTGTACTTAATCAGCCTTAACTGACCCTCAGTGCATATGCCCTTGTCTTAGTCATCGGTTGAGGTCATACCGATAATTTAAGGTAGGATTTCATACGAGGAACCTAACATTTTAAATGAACTCATTGTCATACATGTCAGTCTTTTACTGGAACTGATTTTCTTCAATAAGTCAAACATAAGCCACATAACAGAGGATGGAATGAAAACATACTGCTTCTCTAGAACTTCCAAATTCTTAGTGCACAGCTACGATGAGGTATCAATGGAATCGTTTTTTGTTTTCTGAAGGTACATTTTGTAACATTTCCAGCTACACAAAACTATAATGGCAGCATCTGCCCAGTCTTGGATGGCAGCCTAACACCAGTGCAAAGCTTCAGATCTCACATCTTCCAGACAGACAAAAATCTATTCTCTCTCTTCTTATATGTTTTATTGAACAGCTCTCTGGAAAAATCCAGTTTTTAAAAAATTGCAACCCAAAGTAAATTTCAGATTTGTCGCACCATATTATGCTAATATGTGATGCTTTTCTTCTCTGCTAAATGGGTTGAAATTTAACATTGGAAATTAGTCCAATCTAGTCATTCGCATAATGAAAGTTAAACTATATTCATCAGGCTGGGTGAAGTGGCTCACACCTGTAATCCCAGCACTTTGGGAGGCTGAGGCTGGTGTATCACTTGAGGTCAGGAGTTTGAGACCAGTCTGGCCAACACAGGGAAACCCTGTCTCTACTAAAAATACAAAAAATTAGCTGGGTGTGGTGGCATGCACCCGTAGTTCCAGCTACTCAGGGGGCTGAGGCAGGAGAATCACTCACTGAGGAGGCAAAGTTTGCAGTGAGCCAAGATCACACCACTGCACTCCAGCCTGGGTGACAGAGACCCTGTCTCAAAACAAAAACAAAAACAAAACAAACAAACAAACAAAAACTATGCGAGAAACATAATTTTTAGTCAATAGAACTTGTGTGTGTGGTGTAATGAATAGTCTTCCTTCCTAATTTAGTTTGGTTTTATATTGAGTGTTGGTTGTAGGCAAGGGTTACCCCAACCCAGATAAATACCCTGCTTCACAAATACAAATCCATGCATAAAATGATTTTGGAAAGTGGAAAAGGAGAAAATATAGAGCTGGAAGGTTGGACCAGGTGTTTCGCCTTCCAGGGGAAGGGGCAGGAAGTGAGATGTGTTTTCAGGTGCTCTCTGATGCACTAGAATCTGCTACCCACTATCTGAGAGCTGAGTGTGCATCATCTGGGTACCTTGTATGAAAAGTTGGTACCTGGAAAAAGGGCACTTGTCCCACCGGCAGCAAACATAGGGACCTTTGAGGGAAGTATTTTGTCACCATGTGTGTATGAAGGAAAGGGCCCATCGTCCCACAGTTCTTGCTTGGTATACACAAGTGTACTAGTGCACTAAAAAAGCTCACTTCATTCTAAGGGAAATTCTGTTGAATCATGGGATTATTCTTCTTTGTCAGTGGACTTACTAAAGTGTCCTAAAGAAAGGATGAAAAAATAACTCACACTTGAATGCTGTAAACCTGATGAGTCACCATTGCTTAATCTTCCTACAATGCTGGCCTAAAAGGTTCTCTTGAAACAGTAAAGGGCAAATTCTACAATCCCTTTTATATATAACGAGGTCCCAAAGTGATAGGGTTAGAATGTAGCCAAAACAAAGTGATCCTTGGTTTTAGAAATCTTTAACAGGCTGGACATTGTGGCTCACACCTGTAACCCCAGCACTTTGGGGGCTGAGCCAGGAGGATTACTTGAGTCTAGGAGTTCAAGACCAACCTGAGAAACATAGTGAGAACCTCATCTCTACAAAATATTAAAAACTAGCTGGGTGTGGTGGTGCACACCTGTAGCTTTAGCTACACAGGAGGCTATGGTGGGAGGATCGCTTGAGCCCAGGAGGCAGAGGCTGCAGTGAGCCAAGATTGTACCACTGTACTCCAGCCTTGGGAATAGAGTGGGAGCCTATCTTTAAAAAACTAGTAATCTTTAATAACCTAGACTGCAGTGTGACCATCACTTTTTTTCTCTGTTATAACTAAGGCCTTATCTGCTATGCAAATCACTGGTAACCAAGAGGTCATCATTCACTAAAGAAGCAGTCCAGGCAATAGACAGGTTTGACAAGTGATTTCAATTACTGAGTCCAACAACTGATGAGCACCCCAGAGTTTATGGAAATAGTCACTGCCAGTGCCTTACAGACATGTTCTTAGAGGGATGAAGACAGCAAGGGAACACCTACAACACATGAAGTTGTTGATAAGATCTGGTTAGCTTTTTTCCTTAGAGAAGAAAAAAGAATGAAAAAGAAATGAACATTGACTACAAGACAGAAAATTACCTTAAAAGACCAAATCTAAGAATTACTCATGTTAAAGAAAAAGTTGAGCAAGAGCAAAGAGTAGAAAACTTATTAAAAGAAAAACAGTAATAGAAAAACTTTCCAAAACTTGAGAAAGAGATAAATATTCAGGTACAGGAAAGTCAGAGAACACCAAACAGATTCAAACCAAATAAGTCTACCCTGAGGCATATAATGATCAAACTGTCAAAGATCAAGAACGAAGAAAGCATCAAAAAGCAGCAAGAGAAAAGAATCACATATAAAGTAGCACCAGTTTCGTAAGATTTATCAACAGAAACCATACTTCTCAATAGCCATGGAAGAAAAGGAGACAGTTTCAAAATGCAGAAAAAAAGAAAATCTGCCATCCAAAAATATTGTATTCAGAAAAGCTACCCTGCTATCCCTCAAATATGAAGGAGAGATAAAAGCCTTTCCCAGACCAAAAAAAAAAAAAAAAAAAAAAAAAGTGGAGAGAATTCACCATCATCATATTCACCTTACAAGAAATGCCAAAGGGAGCTCTTCGATCTAAAAGAAAAATATTGGCTGTGAGTGGTGGTTCATGCCTATAATCCCAGCATTTTGGGAGGCCAAGGTGAGAGGATTGCTTGAGCTCAGGAGTTCAAGGCCAGCCTGTGCAGCATGGCAAGACCCTGTCTCCACAAAAAACAATTTGCTGGGCATGGCAGTGCCTGTAGTCCCAGCTACTTGGGAGGCTGAGGCAGGAGGATTGCTTGAGCCCAACCATTTGAGCCTGCAGTTAGCTATAATAGTGCACCACTGCACTCCAGCCTGGACAACAGAGCTAAACCCTTTCTCAAAAAAAAAAAAAAAAGGAAAAGAAAAGAAAAAACCCACTAATGGGCAAAAAGAAAATATTTAAAGCTTTAAAACCCACTGGTAAAATTAAATACAGGGACAAGCCCAGTATTACTCTAATATTGCAATTATGGTATATAATCCACATCATAAGTATAGTATATAAATCTATCTAGTATAAAGCCCCAAAAACAAATCAATCAAAACCAATAATAGTTATAGCAATCTGTTAAGAGATAGGGAATATAAAGATATATAAATTGAGATAACATAAAGCCAAAATGTGGGGAGAATGAAGTTAAAATGTAGAGTTTTGTTTTTTTTTTAACTTTTTTTTCATTGTATAAGTCAGGGTTTCACCATGTTGGTCAGGCTGATCTTGAACTCCCAACCTCAGGTGATCCTCCCACCTCGGCCTCCCAGGAGATTTTTTTGATTTTGTTTTTGTTTTTACATTTTTCTTTGTTTCTAGTATTTTCTGTGTGATCTAAGTTATTATTTCTTTAAAATAACTTATATCCATAAAATTTTTTTTGTAAGCCCTATGGTAACCACAATGCAAAAGCCTATAATAGATTTACTAAAAATAAAAAGCAATGCATTAACACATACTATCAGAGAAAATCACTTAACCACAAAGGAAGACAGTAAGAAAGGAAGAGAGGAGTTACAAAACGGCCAGAAAACAAGCAACAAAATGGCAGTAGTAAGTACTTACCTAAACAAAAACACTGAATTTAAATGGACTCAGTTCTCCAATTTAGACATAGAATGGCTAAATGGATAAAGAAATAAGACCTGACTATATGCTGCCTACAAGAAAACCATTTCACTTCTAATATGAAGGGATGGAAAAAGATATTCTATGTAATTGGAAACCAAAAAAAACCAGCAGGAGTCAGTAGCTTTACTTATATCAGATAAAACAGACTACAGATCAAAGACTGTAAAAAGAGCAAAGAGGTAATTCGGCAAGAGGAAACAAGTTTAAATATCTATGTACCCAAAGGAAATAAGTATAAATACCTTGTATCTGACAACAGAGCTCCCAAGTATATAATGCAAACATGAATAGATCTAAAGGGAAAGATAGACTGCAATACAATAATAGTAGGAGACTTCAACACTCTACTGCCAGTAATGGACAGGTCATCCAGACAGAAAATCAAGACACATTGGAGATAAACTACACGCTAGACCAAATTAGGCCTAACTGACACAGAACATTTCACCCAACTGCTGCAGAATACGTTTTCTTCATCAGCACATGGAACATTCTCCAAAACAGACTGCATGTTAGGTCACAAAACAAGTCTCAACAAATGCAAAAAAGTACAAATCATATCAAGTATATTTTCTGACCGCAATGGAATAAAACTAGAAATCAATAACAAGAGGAGCCTTGGGAAATACACAAACACATAGAAATTAACACACTCCTGAATGACTTACGGTCAATGAGGAAATTAAGAAAAATTTTTTAAATTTCTGGAAACAAATGAAAATGAAAAATGACATGCCAAAATGTGTCGCATACAACAAAAACAGTACTAAGAGGGAATTTTATAGCAATAAATGCCTGTACTGAAAAGGTAGAAGAAAGACTTCAAATAAACAACCTAATGATATACCTCAAGAAACTAGAAAAGCAAGAACAAACTAAACTCAAAATTAAAAAAAAATATAATAAAGTTCAGAGCAGAAATAAATGGAGACTAAAAAATATAGAAAATCAATGAAATGAAAAGATATTTTTTCAGATATTAACAAAATTGACAAACCTTTAGCTAAATTAACTAAGTAAAGAGAGAAGACTCAAATAAATAAAATTATAAATGAAACAGGAGACATAATAACTGACACCACAGACATACAAGAATCATTAGAGGCTATTATGAATAACTACATGCCAACAAGTGGCAAAACCTAGAAGAAATGGGTAAATTCCTGGACACATACAACCTACCAAGATTGAAACCATGAAGAAATAGAAAATTTCAACAAACTAATAATGAATAATGAGATTGAAGTCATAATAAAATGTCTTCTATTAAAGAAAAGTCTAGGACCTGATGGCTTTATTGCTGAATTCTGCCAAACATTTAAAGAAAAATGATGACCAATACAAATGCTTCATAAGAATTGAAGAGAAGGGAATATTTCCAAACTCATTCTGTAAGGCTTGCATTACCCTGATACCAAACCGAAGACACAACCAAAAAAGAAAACTATAGGCCCTAATCACTGATGAACATTGATGCAAAAATCCTCAACAAAATACTAGCAAATGGAATTCAACAACACATTAAAAAGATAATTCATCATGATCAAGTAGGATTCGTTCTAGGAACGCAAGGATGGTTCAACATACAAATCAATAAACACAATATATCACATTAAGAGAACCAAGAACAAGAACAAATTATTTCAATAGCTGCTGAAAAAGCATTCAATAAAATTAAACATGACTTTATGATAAAAAAAAAAGACCCTTCAACAAACTAGGTATAGAAGAAATGTACTTCGAAATAATAAAGACTATGTATGAAAAACTCAGCTAATATCATACTGATAGGGAAAAACTGAGAGCCTTTTCTTTAAAATCTGGAACCAGACAAAGATGGCCACTTTCACTACTTTTATTCAACATACTATTGGAAGTTTCAGGGCAATAAGGCAAGATGAAGAAATAAAGGGCATGTAAATTGGAAAGAAAGAAATTTAAATTAGCTTTGTTGGCAGAAGACATGATATTACACTTAGGAAAACCTAAAGACTCCACCAAACAACTGTTGAAACTGCTAAGTGAATTCAGTAAAGGTTCAGTATACAAAATCAACATACAAAAATCAATAGCATTTACATCTGCCAAGAGAAACAATCTGAAGTATCCATCTGATGAGGGATTAATAACCAAACTATATAAGGAGTTCAAACAACTCAAAAGCAAAAAAAAAATCTGATTTTAAAATGGGCAAACGATGTGAAAAGGCATTTCTCAAAAAAAAAAAAAAAAGACATAGAGGAACAAGAGGTATATGAAAAAAATGCTTAATATTACTAATAATCAGATAATACAAATCAACAATATAATCTCACCCCAGTTAAAATTGCTTTTATAATAAAGACAGGGAATAGTAAATGCTGGCAAGGATGTAGAGAAAGGGAACCCTTGTGCATTGTTGGTGGGAACATAAATTAGTACAACCACTACGGAGTATCATATAGAAGGTCCTCAAAAAACTAAAAATAGAATTACCATTTGATCCAGCCATTCCACTACTGGTTATATATCTGTATTAATCCGTTTTCATGCTGCTGATAGACATACCCATGACTGGGAACAAAGAGGTTTAATTGGTCTTGCAGTTTCACATGGCTGGGGAGGCCTCAGAATCATGGTGGGAGGCAAAAGGCACTTACATGGCTGTAACAAGACAAAATAAGGATGTAAAAGCGGAAACCCCTGATAAAACTATCAGATCTTGTGAGATTTATTCACTATCATCGGAATAGTATGAGGAAAACTGCCCCCATAATTCAAATTATCTCCCACAGGGCCCTCCCACAATACATGGGAATTATAGGAGTACAAGTTGAGATTTGGGTGGGGACACAGAGCCAAACCATATCAATACCCAAAATATAAGAATCAACATGTTGAAGAGATATCTACACTCCCATGTTTATTACAGCACTATTTACATAGCCAAAATATGAAATCAACCTAAGTGTCCATCAGTGGATGACTGGATAAAGAAAATGTGGTGTATATATGCAATGGAGTATTATTCCACCATGAAAAGTTGAAATCTTGTTATGTGCAGCAAGATAGATGGAACTGGAGGTGGTTAAGTGAAATAAACCAAACACAGAGAGACAAATATCACACATTCTCATTCCTATGTGGGAGCTAAGAAAGTGGATCTCATGAAGATGAAGAGTAGATTGGTGGTTACCAGGGGCCAAGAAGGGTAGGGAGAAATGAAGAGAGGTTGATTAATGGGTACAAATATACAGTTTGAGAGAAGAAATAAGACCTAGTATTTGATAGGTCAGTAGAATACCTATAGTTTACAATAATTTTTTTGTATTTCAAAATCACTAGAATTAAAATGTTTCTACCATAAAGACAAATATTTAATGTGATAGATATCCCAATTACACAGATTTGTTCCTTATTACCTGCATGTATTAAATTATCACATTGACCCTCAAAATATGTACATCATTATGTATCAATCAAAACTTAAAATGAAAAAAATCCCTAAAACTGAAACTATTTGCAGCTCAAAGTTCTACTAGTATGTTAAAATACAGAACATGTGTAAGTCTTCCTAAGTTGTCTCAGAACCAGTGACTTCATTTGTCGGAGGGTGTGCACGCAGGTCTAGCATGCCATACCAAGCTGTTAGGCATGACAGTGAATTCTCAGTTACTGGAGCTCTAACTTGGAACACCCAGAGGCATCTAGCGAAGGTCTGTTTTCAGAAGAGTGTGTGGGGGTTGGGGGGTAACGGGATGCAGCTCTGAAGTGAAAATGAACTTCCAACAAATGAATGCCCAGTGTTAAAAGTTCTTGAGAATGACCTACAGCCAACTCTTGTTGGCTTGTGGACTTCACAAAAGGTCTACAAAAATATGCCTTTTTAGGATTCCTACTTACCGCCTGAGTAAGTAAAAGTTGAGAGCCACGAGCAAAACAACCTAAAGATGCAAGAAGGGTCTTGAGGGGAGGAGGGGTGGGGCCGGGAGCGGGTCTGAGTTGCTACAAGCTGACCAAGTGCAAGCTTTGAGCGCTACACATCCTAGCAGCCTTGAGAAGCAGGTGAGCAAGTCTCCTCACACCAGCAAGGCGTTGCTCACAGCATTAAGAATGTTGCCTGAGGAAGTTGGGGCTTCTACAATTAGACCCTGAGGGATGTCGGGGTGGGGCTGTGTGGTGTAAGCCCAGCCCCACCTGAGCCACAAGGGAGCTGTGGGCCATCTTCCAGTCTCAATTTTCGAAACTGTCATTTGATGGGTGATAATGTTAAAACATTTTGTCTTAAAGAAGCCGTAGCTTATAGAGTAGAAAGTAAAATTCATACAAAAATATTTGTAAAGACACAAAACCAGAAAAATACAACTTTTGCTCTGCTGGCCACTCTGAGCAGGATCCCAGATCCCTGGAGATTGAAGGGACTCTGCTTTGAATGCTGTGACCTGAGTCCTGGCCCTGCATATGCCGAGGAGGAGGGAGATGGGAACATGCTGGGATGGGCTGGGGGTCCATGTTGCACTGGGGCTGCACAAGCAGTTGCAGGAAGGGAGAGTGGAGGGAGGTGGCATTAGTGACAACAGCCACAGAGTGGAGAACAGCGATGAAGGCAGCCGAGTCTGGGGCACACTGGGAACAGAGTAGCAGCAGATCTTCTGATATCAGAGGCTAGAGCTGTTAAGAGACAGAAGCTAGGGCCAGCCTTTCCTTGGGGAGGAAGCCACCAACACCTAGCATCTCTCCAGAAGGGTTCACAGTTGTCTGGGCTGAAGCAGCTTGCAGGACAAGGGACCTTAATTCTCTGTCCCTCACTACTGGGATCCACAGAGAGACCTCCACCTAGCAGCAGCATCCAAGAAGGACATTTTGGGTAGACTCATAGACATAAGCACTCAAATTAACCAGACGAGAGCTCCTCAAAGTTTTTATTCTTTTTTCTTTTTAAACTGGCACATTGCCTGGTATACACTGCCAGGTAGGCTTTCAAAATGTGTTCTTTTTTTAAAAATACACAATTTATAATACTGGGAGGATTTTATTTCAGTGTTTCCCAAAACATGATTATTCCTGGAAAGGGTGTACTCTCCCATGACACAGAATAACAAAGGTTTTGTTCTGCTTTTTAAAGCCACCTCAGACAGACACTGGAACACGTTAGATCTAACACTTAAGTGCTTTGAAAGGGCAGTAAAAAAAAAAAACAACCCAAGAAATTCAAGAGTTGTCATAATTTTGGGGAAGACTGTGGTTTTTACAGCCCAGGGCGGCTTCACAGTTGTCAGGGGACACGGATTCCATGTGCCTCCCCCACCAGGGACTTCCAGGACAGCTTCCATGGTTGGTTCTTGAGTCTTTTGGCAGAGGGCAGACCAACAGAGAGGGCTGTGACCTCCTCCGACCAGCCCAGGCCTCGCACTGCTGCGTCGCGGACCCTGTATCAGCAGCACAGCTATGGAACATGTCATCCTGAAAGTGGATCCTCCGTGGGTCACACCAAGCAGTGCAGCCGCAGCAGGGAACTAGAATGAGGCTCAAGGCCATCATCAAAAGAGTGACCTACCCTCTCCTTCCAATTAGTTACCTGCATGCAATGTGCAGTATAAACAAACAGAATTTTTACAAATTAAATTACTTCCTTAAAAATCAGCACATTGTTACAAACAATTCTCTTTGAGAAGTCTTTCCAACTCAATTCTCAAAATTTCACATACAAAATGCTGTGCAAAAACAAACACTGACCTGAAATAAATAGAAAAAAAAAGTGGGAATAGCTAAAATATTTTTGTGTTTTTAAATTAAAAGTTAAAAACACCAGCTGCACTTCCAAGTATTTGCAGGATGAAGTACATCAAGAAGGCTGTTAAAAACAGCCCTCAGAGTTCAGAGTTGCATTTTCAGCTGAGGTTTTGTGTGTTCAGAATTCACAATGGATGCCTCCGCTGAGATCTTTCACCACTCCCTCTTTGACCAGCTTTAACAGGAACTTGGTTTCCGTTGTCACATTATGCATGGTCTGAAAGTTCATGGCAGCCATACACTGATTGTCAAAGTAGTGCAAAGGTGTTCTGGGTTGACTGAGGTCATATCCAAAACCTGCCAAACTGACTTCATCGCACAGATGCGTGGCTAAGACGACAGCAATGACACCAATTGTGGGGACGTTCTGAGAAAGGGAAAAGACCAAAAAGCAAAAAAAAAAAAACAAAAAGTTTTAGCACAATTCACCATTTCGCCAATATTACAGATGCTATCAGAGTCATGAAAGCTACACTGGGGGCTGCAATGTCTACATCACATAATTTTATACATCAGCAACTTCAGAGTCCAAGTCCCCATTTAAGTCAGGAATCTCGCCTCTAAAACATGGTCTGTGATATTCACACACATTCAAGGGCAGTCTAACAATTCTTACACCAAGTTAAAAGGTTACTTTCTAAAATGTCTACCCCACTGGTCCTATATGTGATGCCCAGAATCATTAAAAAAAAAAAAAGCCTACTACCCACTTCCCAGTGCCAAATGTCTATGAGGTCTGCTCTGGGACAGGCGGCCACAGGACCTTTTACCTTCCCAGGGCATGGTTTTTGGAGCCCATCCCTTCCTGAGAACAGAGGATTCTCAGTTCTCACTGCAGAAGACTGCTTTCACACCACCTGCAGCTACAGCCCACCTTAAGGGCTCCATTAGCTTTGCTGGCAAATAGCACTTCCAGGCCATTTCCCCATGTAGAGCTGCTAAGCCAGTTTCTTCCCACCCTCTGTTTGGGCAAGTAAATTGTTTTGTTTTTGAGACAGGGTCGGTCTTGCTCTGTCACCCAGGTTGGCATGCAGTGGTCACGGCTCACTGCAGCCTCGACCCTTCCAGGCTCAAGTGATCCTCCTGCCTCAACCTCCTGAGTAGTTGGGACTACAGGCATGCACCACCATGGCCTGGCTAATTTTTGTATTTTTTTGTAGAGATAAGGTTTCACCATGTTGCCCAGGCTGGTGTCAAACTAGATTATAGGCATGAGCCACCATGCCTAGCTGCAAGTAAATTTTTGTCCCGAATAAAAGACTTTCACATTTGTTCCTTTAAAAATGTATCCTACTGACTTTGGCCTAGAATGCTCATTGTCTAAACCTTTCTAGAGTCTGATGTGTCCCCACTCCCTCCTTGTGTCTGGCATCTTGTCATGCCTCCTGGAACGTGCAAATCTGGCACTGTGCTTTCTGGACCTCCATGCCAGTCTTGGGTAAAGACAGTACACAGGACAGGGAGGAATACAGGAGGCCCTGCAGCTCACTAGGCCTCCTTGACAGCTGACACCAATCTACTAATACTCCATATTAGCATCCTTTTGCTTTTCATGTGCAAACGTGGCTCCCTTCTCATTCATCTTAGCTGAGCTTGTAACTGCCATAAATGTAACTCTCCTTTTTTGTAAATGGGAACAACAGTGGAACCTCAGAATTCACCAATTCAGGTGGGATTAGGAACACCTACTGAAGCCATCATTTGTTAAAATCTGCCTCCTGCTCCTTGGTACCTCTCAAAGCCAACCTCATTTGTTAAAAAGAAACTCAACAGCCATTCTGCAAGCTTGGAAATAGAAACTAAGAGAAATTAACACAAAGGACACTTTACTCCTGTTTAGCCAGGGCTCCAGGCATTATTGTCTTCTCCAACCCTGTATCCTCAGTGACCCGTTTGGCACACAGGGAATACTCAATGTTTGTGGAAGGAGTTTGTTAATTCAACTGTCCATTGGAGTGATATATGAAGAGAACTAAAAAACGATGAAAAACTCCCCAAAGCATGTTATCTCTATAGCATGCCCTCTGAGAGCACACCTCCTATTGCTCGACAGGCTTCTTCATCGGCTGAAAGGACATATACACGAGCTCTGACAGTGCAATTTTAGATCAGAAGTCCGCTTTTAAGTTACTGCTTTTATCCAAAAGAAAAACGCCATTTTATCAATTATAAAAATAGGCAAACATTGAGTTCAACTAATAGATTATAAAACGGAAAGCAGAAGCTTTCTACAGACTTCCCCTTGAAGAAAGGCATTCTTCACAGGTTGGTATCTCTTTCCAGGCTTTTATACTAAACACGTACGTTTATTTTTCAAGTGTTCTATATCTTGATTTTCTCCTTAATATACAGTGGAGGTGTTTTCCTATCACAATACTGAATTGACTTTATAATAATTTGTTTAAACAATCCTATAATCATGAACACTTGGCTGTTTTTAGTCTTCTGCTGCTAATGCTATAGTATATATCCTAGAATATCCACCTTTGCAAATTCCCCTAATTTCCTTATAATAACATTTTTAGTGGAAAACTGGTGGGTCAGAGGTTATTCATATTTAAAATGGTTTAATATTGCCAAAATAGCCTCCAGGAAAAGTGCCAACTGATCATTCTACCCACATTCCTGCCAAACAAGGATATTATCAAACTTTTAAGTCTTTGCTAAGAAAGTGGGCAAAAATGCTACTGTGGCTCTAATTTGCTTTTATTTGATTATTGGTAAAGCTGAACATTTTCCATGTATTCTTTGGCTATTTTAATTCTTTTGTGAAATATCTATTCCTATTCTTTGCCCATTTTCTACTGGTTCATATTTTTCTTTTTGACTTAATAAGAGCTCTTTGTATTCTGAGAGTGTTTACTCTCGTTGTATATGTGATAATTTCCACACAGGTCTTAAGTTTTAAAGACACAGGTCAAGTTATTCAGATCAAGAAGCCGCAAGTAATAAAGGTATGCGCACCCCCGCTCCCCCTAGTGGCAGCACTTGCTAATTGCAGGTAAAGAATCTCTGCTGCAATAAATAGCTTAGAGCACAAAGTTCCCAAATTAGGCTGCAAAATAAAAATCGTCCAGGGAATTTAGAAAATCTTAAAATACAAACCAATTAAATCAGAATGCCTAAGATGAAACCCAGGCATTAACTGAGAAACACTGTTCTTGAGGATTGACTTTTATAACTATCACCTACAAAGTGATGATAAAAATCAATTTTCACCAGAGTGGCCCACAGAGTGAAAATGTAAATATGACTTTTCTCTGAGACACAAACTTTTTTAATTTAAAAAAAATTTAAAAATTAAATGTAAATAACTTTTCAGATAGTGCCTTTCAGTGTCCTGCAGTTATATGGAGTCTTGGAGTAAGAATACCTTAAATAGTATCTCAGTGATGTAAGTGTTAATGCGGTGCCTATGCTAAAAGAAGAGTCACTGGAGAGAAGGCCAATTAAACACGGAGGAGCCCTGCAGCCAAGTGCACAGTGGTAAACACGCACGGAGCGTCTCATCAAAGGCTGGGTTTCTCCACTGGACATGCTTTTGGGTATACAGTTGAGCCAAAGTGAAATTTGTAAACATCTCCCCTCAAACAGAGAACAATTAACTTTGAGTAGCAACAAAAATACCTTATCTCGGCCCCAGAACCTTGACTGAGGCTCTGAGTACTGAAGGATGTCAAAGGCAGTCTCTTTGATGATAACCGGATTCAAAATCCTGAAATGTTTTGGCTGTAGTGGGATTTTTTCTGCCACCTGCTTCCAAAAGAAAAGTCGCACCCAAAATGGCTAAAGAAAGCAAGCAAGTAGTCGTTAGTTACCCTTCCGGGGTAGGGGAGAAAGCATTCCCATTCATCAGGCCAAAGCCATGGGCATGACCCCATGTGGCCCTGTGCACTGCCTTCTGCAGCAACCTACTCCTGTAGATCGCAAAATCTATGCAAATCCAGCACTTCAACTCAAAAAAGTAACTCTAAAATAGCCACTTCCCAAAGGCGGCACTGGACAAAGAGAGGAACAGTAGAATCAGCTCATATTTGTTTGAGGTAGACATTCCTCAATGGCTCTAAAGCTACCATTTTGTCCGGGAAAGCCCAAGCAAATAGGTCCTTTAAGACTATTAAGTGCTGGGACAGCCCTCACCTTGCATCCTCTTCCACTTACTCTATTTCCTAGTCCCATGAAGTCTCTTGGCAACTGACTGAAGTCATTTCATATATGATTCATCTTCCGATTGGAACTCTACCCAATAGAAAAATCCAGAAGACCATGATGACTGATATAGAATCAGTTTTGGAAATACAAATTCTTCATCACATGGAGTTTATGTGAAAAGTCTAATACGTCCATTAGTTTCACAGACAGCTAGTTTGTGTATATGTCTATAAATGAGCACACATTCCTCAACAGTTGACCTCTGAGATGTATTTGAATATAATGGGTGGGACTATAAAGCAATGTGATCAATAAAGACAAAAGGAATATGACCACGTGAGGGCCGTCTCCTCCACAGCTGCCTTTCCGGAATGCTATGAATTTATTTCAACAAGGAAACCACTGACTAAAGCACTTTTGGAGAGGCTCTTTAGGAGTATTCCTTAACAATCTTATATTCTTTTCAATATCCCCAAAACGGCTTATATTCATCTAAGTAAATCTAATACCTAGAACTAGCCAAAAGCTATGCAAGTTCATGTCTGGAGAACCAGGTAAGTGAACAACCTCAGTAATAGCAATTTTGGTCACAATCTGGATATTCCCATTAAGCAATGATCATCATTTTCATGTGACTCTTAATTAGGTTCTAAAAGCAATTTGTAGCAAATTTGCTGAGTGGTGGCTGGGCAGTGGCTCACGCCTGTAATCCCAGCACTTTGTGAGGCCGAGGCAGGTGGATCTCCTGAGGTCAGGCATTCGAGATCAGCCTGGTCAACATGGTGAAACCCCATCTCTACTAAAAATATAAAAATTAGCCAGGCATGGTGACAGGTGCCTGTAATTCCAACTACTTGGGAGGTTGAGGTGGGAGAATCGCTTGAACCTGGGATGTGGAGGTTGCAGTGAGCCAAGATTGCACCACTGCACTCCAGCCTGGGCAACAGAGTGAAACTCCCTCTCAAAAAAAGGAAGAATTGCTGAGGGGTTTCTGCAAAGAGAGTGATGATCATTTGAAAGACAACATGAAAGTATGCACTCCACTGTGCATGTGTAAAAATAAAAGGCCATAATTACAACTGAGTCTCCTTCACTTTTTACTAAGGAACGTTTAATAGAAGTTCTAGTGCTTACCAGGGTTTCATTTTTTACCATTGCTTGAAGCCAGTTGAAATCAACACTCTTAAATAAAACAGCAACAAATAAGTCATTGGAATAATATTCAAGGTCAGACAGTGGTGCGCCCTCTGGATAAGTCATCCTTATAGTAGTTTTATTTCCAACGTGTTCTGAATATCCCTCAACTGGTGCACTGTTTAACCTATTTAAGTAAAAAGGACAAAGACACACTGACAAAACAAGCCATCAACCATCTTTGCATACCAGGCATTATCCATGTCATGTCCTCCACATTTTCTTTAGACTAGGAATGAGTAGATGGCTTGGTGGGTGGGGTAGGCCACCCTTCCCAGCAGCCTCATCGCCCCTCCCAGCTCCGTCTTTCTAGGAGTTCAAGGAATGCAGCTTTTAGTCCCTGACTGAACACTTGCATCTAATTCCTGAATGTCAAGCAATTTCATCTAGCTCTACTATTTTTACTCAATCTAAGCATATTACATTTGGGACTTTCTCTGGGTACCAGTAAAATTTCCTTGGAAATTTCCTATTGTGCTCAGATATTAGTTCTTGCCAGAATTTCAAAAAAGGAATCGGGAGGGAAAATCTAGTCCACTACGCCCGGCTGACTTTTTGATTTTTTTGTAGAGACAAGTTGTCTCTATGTTGCCCAGGCCGGACTTGAAATCCTGAGTTCAAGCGATCCTCCTGCCTCGGCCTCCCAAAGTGCTGGGATTATAAGCATGAGCCACTGCACCTGGCCGGAAATCAATTTTTAAACAGTGAAACCAAAAAAAGAATCCAGGATGACTGCCTACTGGCTATCATGGTAAGTCTGAACTTCTCTGTGTGCCTTCCTTGTCTCAGCCAGCACTGCCTTCCAAGACTCACTGGCTCAAGCCCCTTCTCTAGAAACCAGGTCCCTCACCGACTCAAGTCTCCCACTGTGTCCTCTCCTTGCCCCTGCCTGGCAGTCATGGTCCTTTACTGGTTTACTTGAATCTACCCACCTTCCAAACCTCACTTTCTCTGACAAGGTTCTGCCACTGACTACAGCCTGCAGTACGCTCCTTCAACTTAGGGTCAGTATGACTGCTTGGGGCATCCAACCATTTTGTGTTTTTGTTTCAGCTTCTCAAACAGTAAGTCCCTTCATGGCAGGGACTGTGAAGACCTTCCTGCAACCCTCACTGTTCCTGGTGCTGCACTGACCAAGAGCAGTGCACTGAGTTCTAGGAGAGAAAAGTTGGTTTTAAAAGCAATGTACCCCAGTCTGGGCAACTCAGAGAAACCCCATCTCTACTAAAAGTATAAAAAATTAGCTGCAATATGTGTGCCTGTGGTCCTAGCTACTGGAGGGGCTGTGGTGGGGGAATCTCCTGAGCCTGGGAAGTTGAGGCTGCAGTGAGCCGAGATCAAACCACTGTACTCCAGCCTGGATGACAGGAGTGAGACCCTGCCTCAAAAAATAAAATAAAAACAATAAAAATAAGTAAACAAAAAAATAAAAGCAATGTACCTTATCACAACATCGAACTGGTTCAGGGTGTGGCCCAGTTCTAATCCGTGTAGTATTCCTCCGCTTCCAATAACCACACAGCGCCGACAGGTCTTGGCTTTCAAGTGTTCAGGGAGGTCGTGCTCTGGCAACAGTTCCAACAGGGTCTGGACTTTACTGGAGAACTTCCGGAACCCAAAAGGAGGATCGTACTTGGACTCAGCTTCACTCGCTTTGGGGGCCTTCCACACAAAAGGGAGTAAGTCCATGCTATACCTGTGCTCAAATAACAGTGCCATTGACGTCTTGGCAAACTTGGGTCGACATTCCTTCTGCAAGACTTGCTGGGCATATTTCTGTGCTCTCTGGAATGAAATCACAGCAATCTGGGTTATAAAAACTCTCCTGCATTTAAAATGTACTCTTCTAGATGACAATCTGTCCTATGATATCTGAGTAGCTCCCGTGTTGATTACTGTCTTTTAACAAAGAACATTTGCATTTTAGAGTTAAGTTAGGCTTAGAAACTTGAAGAAACAGCCTTGGAGAATCACATGACAAGGAGATAAACACAGCAGGGTATTCATTTCATTGCACAGGCAAAGCAAGAAGGACTCCCACCTGCCACCCCGGCCTAACACAACACTGCTCAAATACATTTGGGGTAAAAAGTGTACTTTGGGGTGTTTAAGACTTCATGTTTCCTAACATTCTGATACATGCTACATCATGGTTACACTTTGAGGACACTGTGCTAAGCAAAGGCAGTCACAAAGAGACAAATATGATATGACCTGACCTATATGAGGTATCTAAAGTAGTCATACTCATAAAAACAGGAAAGAATAGTGGTTCCCAGGGTCGAGGAGAGAGGGAAAGGGAAGCTATTTAATGAGTACAGAGTTTTGGTTTTACAAGATGAAAGTGTTCTAGAAATTTGTTTCATAAGAGTGTAAATATGCTTAGCACTGCCAAATTGTACATTTAAAAATAATTATGATGGTAAATTTTATGTTTGTTTTTTTTTTTTTTACCATGATTAAAAAAAAGGTTTCACATATCAGGTTCTCATTTAGCAGGATGACGAACAGGCTTATTTATCAGTTGAGGTACAGAGCTTCACACAGCCTAGAACGCAAATCACCTTAAATACAATCAGGGAACAATGTCCCCTTAATATAGAAATTGCATTGGTTTCAAAGCATTTTCCCAGTCTGCATTTTCATATACATTTTAATGTTTTGTCTCAGCCAGGAGCTGCTGCTAAATCCCAAGTTCATTAGCCCAGCTGAAAGCAACAAACCTCAGAGGAAAGGCAGGTGTGGTGGTTTACACCTATAATCTCAGGACTTTGGGAGGTCAAGGTGAGAGGATCACTTGAGCCCAGGGGTTCGAGGCCAGCCTAGGCAACAGAGTGAGATCCCATCTCTACCAAAAAATTTTTAAAAATAGGCCAGGTGCGGTGGTATGCACCTGTGGCCCCAGCTACATGGGAGTCTGAGGCATGAGTATCAAGTGATCCTCGACCTGGGATGTTGAGGCTTCAGTGAGTCATGATTGTGCCACTGTACTCCAGCCTGGGTGACAGACGGAGATGCTGTCTCAGAAAAAAAGAAGAAAAAAAAAAACCCAAACACAACTTTGGGGGAATATGGTACATGTGTCCATTCACCCCAGTCTTCCTCTTGGCTCAGCTGGACAAATGCTTCTCAGAACCCCTGTCAGGTAGTTCTCCCTAACCTTTGTGCTTTTTTGTCCTTGTCTCCATATTTAGCAGCCTTGGCCCTGAGTTACCACTCCTATTCACTACCTTCTTGCAGGCAGAAGGTGTGTGTGTGAGATCCTATATTTACTGGGATATTTATTATTAGGAATTTAACATATCTTTTCAACTTTGTCAGTATCATTATGAGGATTATTACTGTGGTATAGGTTTAAATGTTTGCCCCCACCTCTGTTTTTCCTCAAGGCCTTGTTATTTTTATTTTGTAATTTTTGCTTAATACATTTTTTTAAGGAATGCATCCATCCTATTATGGCAGAAACATTTAATATATTATAGCTTTGCCAAGTTGTTGGCACCCATGATATCACTGTCTACATCCCAAGGATCTGGCCCAATTTCTGAAAAAGGAACTGATATTTTTGGAGCCTGGGACATTCAGAAATGCTGCTACAGACACCACGCATAACCACTGCCTCCGTTTACCCTCATGACACTATGGCACCTTAAAAGACAGTCATTAGTATTTTCACTTTATAAGAGGTCTGAGCTAGCACAGCAATCTGGGCTGAGTCCTTCCCTGGCTCCTAAAACAGCTTCTTCCGAAAGAAATCAGCATACACAAACACCACAACTGAGAAGAAACGTTTAAATACGAATTGGCATCTTCACGAGGAATCCATGGGAAAGCCAAGCAAGGAATCTGCCATGACCCTGAGCCCCTGAGCCAGCAAATGGAGGGGCTCATTTCTGACCAGTCCTCCAGCAGGCGATGCTCTGGTGCTTAATGCCAAGCTGGTGGAGGCAGGACACACAGAGCAGCTATCCACACTGCACATTCATCTCTAAACCTTAGGCCTGAAGGTCATGAATGGCAATTTTTAGAGACCTAAAGGTCTAATCCTCCACTGAGAATCATATCCTAAGCGTATGGTTTTACAAATCTCCTAGGACAGAAAGTAACATCTGAGAAGTGGCAAGAGGGACCTGGAGAAGCTCACCGATAGTCACAGGATTAGAAAGAGGTGCGTGAGCGAGCTGCACGCTGGCGGGGCCGCCAGGTCTCCTCTTCAGAAGCTTCATCTAGAAAGGAGTAAAATTTCATTCCATTTCCATTCTCACCAAGAGGTCAATTTCAGGCTTCGAACTTAATTTTCTATACTGTGGGCAGGGCACATTTCTCGTAGTCACATTCTGACTGTGACCCCTCCTTGCGCCTAACTCACAGCGGATGCGGCAAGTAAATCCTGAGTGGGTGTTTTACATGCCGCCGGCAACAGCTTAAAGCCACAGCAGTTCCTCATCCTCTTGTGTTTCAGCTCATTTAACGACTCTCCACTGCCTGCCTGGAGACAGGGCTTTCTTTGTAGAGAGCTCAACTGAACTCCATCTCATAGCCACTCAGAACACAAGGACCACACAGGCCATGTCCTCCACTCTGTATGGTTTCTGTTCTTGCTTCAATGGCACACAACCATATATCATTGTCTTGGGGGCTTCCTCAGAGCTTGTCCCACATCTTTAAATGAGTTGAACCGACACTTGTCTCAGCTGCTCTCCTCCCTCTCCACTGCTTGCCTGTGGCTTACAGCTCGGGAAGAAAATGCCTCAAGGGGAGTGCCCCACCTTCAGGAGCTTCGAGGAAGAGGAGGCAGTATGACTAGGCCGTCTCCCCTGCAGGCGGCGCCAGTGCTCCCAGGAAGGCCTCAGGCAGCTGAGGCCCAGATGGCATTCATCCAGATGAGGCTCCCTGGGAAACCAGGAGCTGGTGACTTTCTCGTAAAATACACGAACTCCCACTCTTCTCAAATCCAGGGACAAAAACAAAGGTTTCAGTTTTTAACATCTTCTGGGCTGAGCTTGCAGGTTGCCCACGATTAAGACTAAGTAGATAATATGGTAGTGCCAATTGTTAATGCTGTGGCAATGTGTCAGGAAAAACATCATGTGAAATTCACAGAAGGGTATTAAAAAGAGCAATTTTCCTCAGCAAAATCCCCACTTTCATTTCCACTCTGAAATTTTGAGGAAAACCCTTCTCAGAAATACAAGCAGCATAATTCACAGTAAAAGTTAATGTTCTGTCGCGCTTATTATTTTTTTTAAAAAAAATCCAGAACAGGGTAGACGACTCGGATTGAAAGAAAACTCATGTCTGGAGTTAAGGAGATGTGGGATCATGTGATCTGGAGGCATCAGTTAGTTCCCTGTAGAGCTTTCATTTCCCACACCTGTAAACTCTGGTGCTGGTCTCTTCCTCCCAGGTTGCTCTGATGCCCAAAGCATTTTGCCCAGAGCATGGCATGTGTGGAGACTTGTATATCACACGAGGACAGTAACTGAGGTTCAAGTTATTGGTATATTTTACTCACATTTAAGTTATAACTTTTACCCAGTTAAAAGCAGAAAAAAAATTAAATAAAGTCACAGAAAGAACACTACAGTATAAACTCAACCAGGTGGTGGTAGCCTGGGGCTGAGGGATGAGGGTGGGGACTGACTGCAGAGGGGCTCCAGGGAACTCGCGTGGGCCATGGGAATGTGCTAAAGCGAGACTGTGGTAACAGAGGTGTGGCTGCATACATTTATTAATACTTATCAAACAATAGTCTTCAAAGGAGTGAATCTTACGTAGATTTCATCCTATCAAGTGTTAGAAAAAAAATAATCAGGAGATCTGGAGGCTGGACTCGGTTCTAAATTGATTTAACTAGCAGTATCATCTTGGCTAAAGCTTTTCTTCCTAGGTAGAGGCTTCAGTTTTCTTACCTCTAAGACATCCCAGGAAGGCCTGGAAAGGGGGAAACAGCACTAAGGAGAGAAAGGACTCGGTTTGGAGGTGCTGGTGCCTGGGCTCACTGCATGCCTCAGCAGGGAGGGCCCTGCTTCCTTTAAAGGTACGGTGTAGGTCTGCAGAGTCTAAGAGAAGACGATGAGGAAGTGGCTGAGTCCATTTGGCCGTAATTAACTGCACGCAATGCCGTCCACAGGGTGATAAGTGGCCTTTAGCTCTCAGTGAGGAGAGAGGGCCAAGTTCAAAATGCTGCTACACACAGCCCAAACTGAAAGGGACATCAACATGCCCTCATCTCTCCTCAAACTCCTTTTAAGTGCAATTTCACATCTGAACCACACTGCTTAACAACGGGCACATTAAGGGACATATTTAAATAGAAAATACAAAACCCACAACTGCCACGGCCACACTTCCTCTGCTGCAGTAATGCAGGCCGGGACCAGTGCCACCAGACAATGCTAACGTCTAGCAGGGCTGGCAGGGTCCCACTCATGCTGTGAGTTGCTAAGTGGAACCAAGAGAGCTAATGGGGCCCCACCCTTACAGCTCTGAGACCTTCTTCTGCCAATCTACATCCATGAGAATTCAAATTTGTCCAGATCAAATCTCCATTGACTGCCTGGTTTTCTTCGTAGAGAGCTCACACCAAACTCCATCTCACAGCCACTCAGAACACGAGGGCCACATTGGCCACGTCCTCCACTCTGTTCTTGCTTCAACAGCACACAACCAGATATATTAAGGAGCTGCTTTGTGCTTAGTGTAGCATTCAAGGCCTTCCACTAGCTAGCCCTGTCTCATTTTCCGTCCCATATCCTGTGATCCCTCCACCCCAAATCCTCCGT